CGCAATTTATTATTTATTTAAGGGAAAGTATAGAAATCATTAGGGCTTAGATCGGGGCTGTACGGCGGATGGTCTAATAATTCTATGTTTTCTTGCTCTAAAAACTCTTTTGTTCTGTGCGCGGTGTGAGAACTCGCATTGTCGTGATGGAGGATGATGCGGCGGTTGCAGTTCTCTTTACGGAGTTCAGAAACGACCTGTGGCAAACAAATGCTAGCATACCATTCTGCATTAACCGTTCTTTGTCCCTCAAGAGGAATAGTCGGTTTTGGAGACAAACGTGGCCACCATTTTTTTTGCAACACTCCGTGAACGAACAATCTTCGTTGGCTTTAACTCATTTTCGAACACCCAAACTCGTGACTGATTTTTTGTTTCGGGTTCGTACGCGTATATCCAGGATTCGTCACCTGATACGATGTTGTATACAGCATTTGAGGATCCTGCGTGGAATCTTTCGAGAATTCTGACGCACCAAGTAACGCAAACCGCTTTTTGCTCTTCACAGAGCGAATGCGGTATCCATCGGGAAAACAACTTTTTTACACCTAATTGTTAATGCAAGATTATTTGTATTTGACTCATGCCAATGTCTAAAGTTGCCTAAATTTCGCGTTATGTCACATGTCGATCTTCCTCAATCAGCTTATGCACAGCATCAACGTTTTCTTGGGTGACTGCAGTTTTTGGACGACCTTGACGGGGATCATCACTGAGCTTGACACGTCCACGTTGAAATTCAGCAAACCAGCGATAAATTGTGGTTTTGTATGGGGCTTCATCACCAAATGCAGAAATCATCCGGTCAACACACTGTTTTTGTGATAAACCACTTCGAAAGTCATAATAAATCATCGCTCTTGAATTTTCTCGAGTCAATTCCATTTTCTCAACGACTAAACAAGTTTGACAAAACTTTGTGAAAAGACCGAGAATCTTTAAAAAAATAAATAAATGGTATTCGATTTTTAAAAAAATGAGTTTTCAATTAAAAAGATTTAAATATGACAGGAACAGTGGTATTATTCCATTCCCGATACTTTAAGTGCAGCCTATTTACTTTGACTTTGGGTTGATGTACTGGCCAATGTATTTTTATTATTAATTGATACGTTACCGGTTCTCTTACGGTTTTCCATGTGGGGTAAAAGAAATTCGAGTAACTCGGCATATTTCCAGTTATTTGTCGGAGAAGCAGCCTGACCACTTGTACTGGCTTTTATCCTTTTGAGTGACTCTCGATGACTATCACGTAACTTTTTCCACTCATTCTTCGCAGTTTTCACTGTAACAAACACCAAGTCAAACTTAGTAATAAATATTTATATGTTTCAGGTTTTTAGCTACTGGTGACTCCTTTAGAACAATTGGATATAATTACAGAGTGGATAATAACACAGTTTCTTTGATTGTGAAAGATGTGTGCAATGCACTTTGGATTCATTTGCAACCAATATATATTAAGTTACCTACCGACAGAAAGTGTATGGGAAGTAATTGCAGAAGACTTTAATGATAAATGGCAATTTCCTAACTGCCTTGGTGCCGTGGATGGGAAGCATATCTCAATAAAATGCCCTCCACAGTCGGGTTCTAATTATTTTAATTATAAATAATTTTATTCTGTCGTCCTTCTCGCAGTCGTTGATGCGAACAAAATATTTATTATAATAGACGTTGGTTCAATAGGCCGATTTAGCGACGGAGGTATTTTTGCAGATAGCGCATTTGGCTACAAATTACAAAACGGGCAACTAAACTTACCTACAACTTACCTGTAATCATAAACCTTTAACGCCTGATGGCGATCCAACACCTTTTGTGTTTATACGTGATCAAGCATTCCCATTACAACTTTATGAGACCGTACCCACGGAGTACATGTTTAGATAACTGAGCAAAAAACACCTTTTACTATCGTCTCAGTAGAGCACGAAATGTAGTAGAAAATGCGTTCGGTATATTGTCAGCGCGATTTCGTGTGTTTCGTCGACCATTCGAATGTAAATTAGAACTAGTGGACGTCATTACAAAGACTACCTATACAGGTACAATTTTTTAATGTCTTCAAGAACGACAACTAGTAACGCAAATACCGTCAATATTGAAGAACAGAAAACTTTAAGATCGGTACAATACGACAACTAGAGAAGCATTTCGTGTCAGAGAATCCTTTTGTAATTATTTTAATAATATAAATTATATTTAACTTTAAATAAATATTAATAAAACTTTTAATAAATATTAATTAAACTTACCGTCTGGTATGTCTGGATTACTTATTTCCTCCACTATTCTTTTCCATACAACATTCTTTTTAAAAAAAAAAAATTTTAACCGGATTAAAGTTATGTATTATTATAAATTTGCGCATCCCCCGGCTGCATCACTAAAACAAAAACAAGACACAAACAGTTCCCCGCCAGCCATCCTACCTGCCATATGTAAAGGGAGTTACAGATAGAATTAGCCGGATCCTAAAACGAGCTTCTATTCATACAATTTTCAAGCCGCACAAGAAGATTCAGCAATTCCTAAGACCAATTAAAAGTAACACCCCATTGCAAGATGCAGGTATATACAAACTGGATTGCGACTGTGGCCTGTCTTACATAGGGCAAACTAAACGCAATATGTCCAGCAGACTCAAAGAACACATTGCGGACATAAGACATAGACGACACACAAAATCAGCAGTCTGTGAACACATACTAGATAGGCCTTATCACTACATACGCTTTGACCAACCGAAAGTACTTGCGAAAGAAAAAAGATTCTTCACAAGATTGGTACGCGAAGCCATTGAAATCAAAAAACACCCCAAAGAGAAGACGGCCTAAAATTTTCAAACACCTGGGATCCAATAATATCCAAATTAAAATCTCAAAAACAATCCGCGAAAATAGAGGACACCGTGAGCCATTTTTGCCAAAACCCTCCATCTTTTAGTCGATACCAATTCCGGGGAAATAAATACAGATAATGCAACTTTCTCTGCAGCTGTGATACTTTTTGACATCCAACACCTTTTGTCTTCAGTCACCGTGACCACGCACGCTGTAAAGCACGCGAAACGGCGGATAAATTTAAAATTATGTTAAATAATTGTAAATTTATATACATATATAATACATAACTTTAATCCGGTTAAAAAGTTTTTTCTTTAAATGTGTAAAAGTTATGTCAATCAAAGACAATACAACATCCTTTTTAATTAAGTTGTGATAGTCCTTTGATTGTGTGTTCCATAGTATAGGAAATTGTTTAACAGTTTTAATAAATTGCTCCATAATCGCTACTAAACGATCGTGCGTACAACAAAGAACACTGGACAGCACTGGCGAAGGCCGAAGGATGTGCATAGGGTGTGCGGGGTAGCGGGAGGGGCTTAGCTTAGCTCATGTAGCTGCGCATCGGCATACACAACTAACTTAGCTTCGCATATTTTAGTTAGCTCACATAGCTTAGTTCGCATAGTTTGCGGTCTGCACACAAGTACGGAAAACTGCGTCAGCTATGCGAGCTAAGCTAAACTAACTTAGCTTCGCATATTTTAGTTAGCTCTTGGTCTGCAACCCGTATCAAGATCGCGACCATTATTGTCATAATTAAAAAAGTTTAGGCCATTTAAAAACATTTATTAACATTATTAGTACTGCAAAGGTTAGTTAATGATAAATTTTAAAAAATCTAAAATTATTTAATTAAGATAATTATAATAATTAACTAATCTTAAGTTAACTTGTAATTTATCGTAGAATACATTATATAAACATGGCTTTCAATAAAATAATACATAAGATCAAATTCTTGTCTCCAAAAGAGCAACAGCTAAAAACTACAAAGCCGTGTCCCCTGATATTAAAAAATAATAATTGTTAATAACCACTAAAAATAAATAGTGGCGCCATCTGTTATGGTATTTTAGCAATTACAGTCAACTCCTGTACGCAACATATCTACGATTAAATTAATCTCGTAAATGGCGTGTACATTTTTAAACCTACTTAAATGCATGAATTTGCTACAACTACGTATCACATTTATTACAAGAAATTACGTATTTCGATAATGGATAAAAATATGGTCAACATCTGACCTACCTTTACCTTACTATATAAAGCTTAATTCAAATTCCTTTTTTTATATTAGCAATCTACATATACAAATAACAAAGTAACAGAAAACTAGTTTCCAATAACTATTACTCTAAAATGGCACGGATTATTTCTATTGTAACTTGGCAGTTGTATAAAAGGTAAAAACAAAGTCACGAAGTCGGCGTTTAGTTGTTTCACTGAATCGAGGTTCCCTTAATTCCCAACGTTATTCAACCACGGATAAAATAACTTACGATTACTCTAATCTAATTCACTAACCACTGTTACATAATTGATGAACTTCTTTCGGAGTACTTGATAAATACTTAAACTTCTTTTGGCGCGTTAAAAAAAAGCGCGGGAAAAACGATGAGAGGAAATTTTTACGATGTCACCGTCACAAAAACACCCTGACACCCTGAAGTTAGCTATAGGTCAACATTCTTTTTTATACAACTATTGATGCTGTATTTGTACGATATTTAGACAACGTTTCTACAAGAATATTTGTATCATACTTTAGCCTCTCGTAACTCACATGTTTACAGAACTCCAACCGATGGACGTGAATTAAATGGTAAATATAAATATGTATAAGTTTCATTCTAAAATAAAAAATGTCCATTTCTTTAATTATGTAGAAATAATTTTTTTGTCATATTTAAATAAACTTTATTTAAGATAATGCGTTATAATAAAACTTTAAATGTAATAAATACCTTTTTTCTATTGTTAGTGTCGTTTTATCTACAATTTTTGAAAAGATTTTTATCTCACGCCAAAGAAGTATAACTTCTACCGCGTGTACATGAGTACACATACGTTTTTTTTACCAAAAAAGATTAATAATGGTCATAAAGCACGACATCATTGTTCCCCATAATTCGGGCGAGAATCTTCTCAGCTGGTGACGTTGCACTGAGAGTAGTACATCGCTTGGCTGTAGTGTTGTTGCACGTTCTGCATAGATGTCACTTCGCTCAAGTACGAATCCGACCCTAAGCTCGGGAAGTACTCCTGAGGGTGACTCTGCTCTCGAATATCCTCCGGACGTTTCTCTTGGGATTTATACTCTCGGTGTTCCTGCAAACGTGTGACTTGATTTAATCATTTAAAAATAATACAATTTCTTATTTTTAAAAATGAGTTAAATTTACAATTGCCTATTAATAAGATATATTAAAAAGTGGTACCTGTGTCACCTGATACTTGCATCTCTTGAAACGACCGTACAACGAAGAGTAGGGAAGGTTGAAATGGATGGCCGCTTGGTTTATCGACATCTGACCGACTCTGAAATTAATTATCTATATTGAAGTGAAGCTCTTGTGAATCAAAGATGGCGCCAGTTTAAAAAAAATTGCGTGCTTTCAATTTCGAGTAACGATTTTAATATCTTAAAAATAATATATTTTATATAACTAAAAAAAAAATATCCAAACCTACCACATAATGTTTTATCTTCTTTCTCTTTCTTTTTTTTATTTTTTATTTTAGAGGCCAGTCACATTCATTGGTCGCAAGGCCAAATGTAAAATAATAATAACACAATATTTTTTTTTATAAATAAATAAAATAAAATACCTGACAGCTTCGAGAGCTTCCCCCATGGCGTCCTCAGACCACGGTGTGGGGTTAGAGCGGGACAACTCGATGCCCTCTCGCTTACACCGCCCGTACAAAGTGCCTGTTACGTTAAGGCTTTCAAATTCACAATCTGACACGCTCTTTAAGCTTGTGAAGGGACACCTCTTAGACTTTAGTACAGTTTTCAAAATAAATTGTTCCCCGATAGAAACAAATTTGGGAGAAGCGCGATCCACTAAAGCTGAATGAATTTGTATGGTCGTGACCGAGCCTTGGCATATATGACTTCGATACAATTTTATTTGGCATTAATGGGCCGTCTCCGCCGCAAAGTGTTTTGGATTCTTAAAATACTGGCGACCTAGCATGGTATAATGGTTGCAGTTCCTTACAAATTATTTGTAAACTAAAATTTAAAAAAGATTTTGCCAATTGTTCTCGCCCGCTCCACACCCTAATTAAAAAAAAGCACCGAAATAAAGGTCCCGCCTCCAACTCACCGGTGGGTATTCCGTAGTGAGAAGCGGCCCGCTGCACGGAGGCAGCGCCACAACGGATGGCGTCGAGAGCCCTTTGCAGATCGGCTCTTCGCCAAGACGTGGGCGCGGCGTTGAAGGGTGCCGCCAAGCGGATTCCCTCGCGACGGGCTATCTTGTACAGGGTGCTGCTGGGTATACCTGCAGTCATTACAAAGATCTAGCAGACTCGACATCGGCTTAGATTACTTTTTACCGCAGTAGTGGATACTCTAACTCCAACATATAGTTGTAATTAAACTAACTTCAAAGGCGATTTTACTAGATTTTAAGAACCATTTTAGAACCTACACCAGTACCTATTTCCCAACGTGGAGCCTACGATTGATTGTTAAGCATGTGCTACACGGTATGAAACGGCGGTTTAAAACGAAATAAAAGCGAGTTGCGCTTTTCGCTACATAACACGGTTTAAAACCAACAGTGTCCAAAATAACGTTGCCTGATAAGACGTCCCGCGCACCCGTACCTGACTTACAGAATTAATTACAACGACATCTGGCGCCTTGCCTAGTAAACAACAAAGTTGGGTCTATCTTTTTTTTTCGGCTAAAATTCCCACGCATTTTTTTCTGGTCGGTCTTTATTGACTCGCATGATATCCCAAAGACTGGCTTCTCTGTATAATTCGGCATTCGGTAATAACTTCACGTTCCTTGCTTCTTGTGCCATTGTGCAGCGTCGTCGTCGCGTGCTTCTCGCTCGCCGCCGCATCCGACTGCCGAACGCGTGGTTTTAAACAAGCGGTTGCTGTTTCAACCAACGGTTTTGGTCGCGGTTTGCAACGCAAGCGTGCTGCCAAGGTCTGTCAGGTTAACGAAATTTGGCATAAAACAACTATCCACACGGTTTGAAACCAAAGTTTCAAACCGCCGTTTCATACCGTGTAGCACATGCTTGAAGCTGACCAAATTGGAATCTAATATAATATAAATTCTCTGTGCAGCAAGCATCAAGCGCTGACATTTTTTATTATAATTATTTGGAATTTGAATTTCAGTTTTTCATTTTACTTTAAAAATTTACTTAATGTTTCGTTAACAATTTCCTAAAACTTATCATTTAAGTTTCATAAGTGAACAATTGGACTTTTTGATATATAAATTATTATTAATTATCAATTATCAATGTTAATTTGTCGTTAATGGTTTTAGTTGCCGTATTCAAATATAAATTCAGGTGTACCGCAAGGCTAGGGCCAAAACTATTTAATATATTTATAAATGATATAGTAACCCGTATGAAGCGTTCTATCGAGAATGAGTATGCAGAATATCTCCAGTTTTGTCGCGTAATTAGTAACTTTGAAGATTGCTTGCTGTTCTAGTCAGATTTGAAAGATATACCTCCATGGTCCATTTCCAATAGCATGAAGCTGAATGGCCAAAAGTCCATTCGTTAGTTTTTTTTAGAAAAAGGGATATTTCACAACTATACAGAGTCATTCGTGACTTAGGACTTATTTTTTGACAATAAACGAATAAATACCAATAAATGTCATCGCTCTCATATAAAGTAAAGAACGGTTCTGACCGTATGCCTTGCTGGCCTTGTTGGCGGAGATGGCTCCAGTCCTGAGCGCGTGCAGGGCCGCCTTGAGGTCGTCGTCGGTCCAGGACTTGGAGGAGCCCTCCTTCTTGGGAGTGTCGATGCCCATGCGATGGGCCCTTTGCCACAGCGTGGTAGAAGGTATGCCATAGGTTGAGGAGGCCTGGATCCGGAAAATATAATACATTTTCTATTTTCCTCGTGTTTAGATTAATTTCATGCATTTTGGTTTGTAAAATTTTGAATAACCACGGAAGTGCACCACCCGATAAAAGTTAGCTAATTGCTGTTTAAAGTAAACTATTACAAAAATAAATAATACAATTTTGTTTACTACATCTACCTTGGTAAGACTCATATGATGGTTCTTGAGCGCGTCGAGGGCTTTCTCCATGTCCAGCGGAGACCAGCTCTTGGCTGCTCCTCGTCCGCTCGTCTCCGGAGTGGAACCCTCACTCGCTTCATCGCCGCTCAGCTGCTGACCTTCTGAAATGTGGAGGCATTAATTAGTAAAAAAAGGAAAAGAGGAACTCACATTTGGACAAATCAAATAGGTCATAAAAATACAAATTACTTTAAAAGACTCAACCGTAAATGTTACCTACCCCCCTCCGAAAGTGGTTCATCCTTAATATTAAGAAGAGGTGCAAAGTCGGAAGTGTCAATTATGTCTGTGGCGTTCGATAGTGAGATGTGTCTTTCCATCAGCTCCGAACCCTGGCGAAATAAAACAATCCAATGAAAAAGTATTTCATAGTGAAGAGAAACTTCTACAAAATTAAGGAGAAAAACTGAGATAGTCATCCGTGTGATATATGAATACTCTCGTGCAGAAGTATCAATTTCTAATCCGTTTAAAAAAACGCTTTTTCCAACACCGAAAAACCAAATAAGACAACAGCTTTATGAGATATTATTGATGAGTACCTGCATCAGGTGGGTCTTGACAGGCTCGAGCAGAGCGAGCGAAGCTTCCCTCGGGGCGGGTAATGCGGCGCATACGGGAGTCGCAGCCGGCGCCGCTGGTACCGCCACCAGTTCTGATGAGAACTGATTATACAGCGATTTCATTAATTCATATTGATAATGTATAGTTATAGCCTATAGGTATTGCGGTTTTCGCGTGAACTTGGCCATGGCGTGATGTCATAATGTCAAAAAAAATTATTCAATTAAATATTGTATCCTTCGAAATATATAGAATTAAAAATTACGTACAGTTTTATCCTTATACCGCACTGGAAAAATTATTTTAAAAGCTAAATAATGCTTATCATATAAACTACGCCACATGAAGCTCTTCGTTACATGAAAACTTATTAAAAAAATCATAAAACCCTGGCGTAATTAAAATTTAGAAGTTGGAAGCTTAAGTTAATAAACATAATTTATAATTATTCTATAAATACCTGTAATTGATCCAAAATTTCAGCCGACACATCTCCGTCATATTCTGTGTTTAATGGCTTTTGTGTTTCCTAAAAATCAGATAGATACTTATTCAAACCTATGGTGCTATCTCCACCTGAAGTATTTACTGTTAATTGCATTTAATTCCTACCGGAAATCAACCCATTCCAAGTCGAATAAATAACCTACGCTGTGATAACAGCAATCGATTCGGTTTCAACCGTTAACGCGTTTTCGAAAATGTATCAACTAAACGTTTTTAAAGTATGTATGGTGTGGTAATTGGTAATTTATTTAACTAAATGAGAAAACAAAATATTTCTGTGTGCCTTCAGTTGTAAGCATGAAATGGACTATCTACATTAAAAAAATACAATCGGAAACAGTAGTTTCTGAGAGTAGCGCTGATTAGAAAATTGAACATTAAATTCTACTATCAATAATAGGAGTTTTAATTTTTTTAGACTTTTCTTAGAGAAGAAGTTTAAGAAAGAGTAACTCACGTAATAGTTTCCGTACTGACAGTTGTCTTCTTCGTCTGAAGGCGGCTCGCACTTTACTCGAGACGGGCCGTAACCGGGCATTTCCTGTTAACCAAAGAACGTTTATTAATAATCATTCTTACGAGATATAAAATAATTTGAAATGTATTTAAAAATAATGAAATAACAAGACTCAACTCCCAAACTATCCCTTTCGCCCGTTCGTATCAAACAAAATATTTCTCCTCGAAGTCGCGCGAATCGAACAATCGGCATAATATAAGTAGGTTCACATAGGCAATTAGACAAAAGGAAGCGAGCTTTATTGAATTTTTTCTCGATTCGTGCACAAATGAAGAGTGCAAACTTGATTCCCTCTCTTTCGTTTCCCGGTCTGAACCCGCCGGGAGCTTTTTTAATTTTATTTTGCAAACGATGTACACGTACAGGCCTTCCGAATAAAACATAATAAAGTTTTTCAACTTTTAGTGGTAGTTAATAGATAGACCGGCGCGGTAGACGTTCGCGTGTCACCTGTCGAGGGATGTGTAGTGTTCACTGTTCACGGCAGTTGCGGATTGAGCATCCACAAGTCTCCCTTCAGTCGCGAGGAACACACGCCGTCCAGCCGCGAAATTACAAACTTCTTAGCGAAGGACGACGTAAAGAGGAACCGATAAACGCGAAGAAAGCGGAGACGAGCGAACAATCTGTTAACTCACCTAGTCGGTCAACGGTCGGCGGGAAAGGCGGCCGTGTCACACGTGGGGTTGAAACAAATGCACAGTGACCTTCGGGAAACGATGGGATGTCGCAAATGAAAGTGAATTCACACAGCCGATCGTCTGCGTCGCTGCGTGGCGCATGTTTAGGAGGTGCAGGGCGGGCTCAGTTTTTTCCCGCGCCAAAGAAATAAAAACAATCGCCTTCCTTTTTGCCGGCTGGAGCGAGCTTCCGCTCCTCGCGCAATCGGCTTCGAGATATTTTAATTTCTATATTTACTTACCTACGTTGTACATTGTTTATCAAACTTTTAATTCAGCCTGATAGTATGAAGCTGTCCAATTTTGCAGATCACTATTAAAATCAATCTGAAAATTAAATTTTATATCATTATAGGGAATTATGTATGTACCTCATATGAATGAAGCATATAGCCAAATTATATACATCTAATCAAAACAGAATTAATCTATATCAATTCAATTAACATATAAAAGAAGAAACGATTTCTTACAAATTACTTTCGAGGGTAGAACAATTGGTACTATGACGTATATAGTATAGGTATGCAGCGGGGAGAGGCCCCGCGCCCGGCCGGCGCCTGTGGGGCGCCTTACTCCACTCCGATTGATTTTTATTACAAGAATTTCACTCTTGTGCTTTTTTGTTTCCGCACACCAAAGAAGCCACGCACACAAACTGAATGTATAATTCGTTTGTACTAATGCTATCGATTTTTTAACGAAGCGACAATGCCCCGCTATGGGGAAATGTAGGCTGTAAGATCTGCAATTTGCATTAAGCTTAATAAAGCTTAATAACAAAAATAATGGATATTGTTAAAAAATTGTCATTTTCTTCGAAATTATATTATTTCAATGAAATTACATTTATAATTAAGCAACACAAAATAATAATTGACAAAGATTAGAGATACGTAGACCAATAAATTCCCTTTTTTAGTTTTTGATCGTTCCATAACAAACGTTTAAAATATTTTATAGCAGCTGTAAATACCTAGTACCTATGTTTGGTTATAATATGTAACCTATGGCTATCTCCATACTGAATTGTATAAATTGACTTAAGCTTGAATCAAAAATGAAAATGAATGGGCTTATATTTTATAGTTTATTTTAATATTAAAGGCAACAGCGACCATGGCAGAAAACATTTTCTTTTGACTGACCAGAAATATTAATCATTACTCAATTTTCTTGCCTTTACAACAGATGGCGTTTTAATAAAAAAAATATTTTTGTTAGTTAAAAGTATTACTTTATAAATTTGACCACTTAACGCCTACCCCCAAAAATAGAAATTATACACAGTTGTGTACTTATTTTTATAATATATTTGTACAATAATGCACACTACATGGTATATATATATATATATATATTATTATCACTATTCAGCACCATTAACGAAATTTTGTTTGTCTGATTTACAAACATCGTAAAGTTTATAAAACGTAGAAAATATTTGATTTGCGCGCCATTATTGTATAAAAAGACATAAACTTACTCCTTACGACTTCAATCAGAATATATTAAAAGCTGGTTATCAGTTATGACGATTTGGATTCTTTACAAATATAAACTTCATAAAACTATACACACAGTTTACAAAATAGGTCAAGGTTAAGTTATTAGGTAGCCATTATGATACAGATTTGAGATTACAGACTACGAAATACAAGAAGTTATTTAAAATCTAAAATGGGCCCATCATGGCAACATTCATCTATGGCGCGTGCGGTTCACAGAGTACAAAAATATATTTTTTAAATTTATATAACTAAAACTCATTTAAGTTATCAAAACAATACTAATTTAACTAATTTAAAACAAACTCCTAAGTGTTTAAAGGTTGCAACGTTTATAATCATATTTTACATACATTTAATAAAGCATTAAAAAAATTACCTGGCAATATTCTGCTGAGCTTATTTTGGGTCAATCTGTTGTTCGTTTCCAACTTGTGTAATTTAAAGAGGTGCCTTTCGCTTCGCTAAACTTGCAACATAGCGTAGTTTAGTATTTTCATTTCATCAAGAAAGCTGGCGGGTGTGCAAAGCAATGTGTTAATTATAAAAACTATTGTGTTTTATTAATTTTTCAGAACAAATATTTGTGTTAATAAGTTGTTAGAATAGCTAATGAAATAGATAAGGTGAGTAATTGTTATAATAACATATGCAAGTAGGAACCTACCTTGAAGAATTTGATAAGTGCTTACTTTATCCCTACGACTTTTCTGAAAATTTCCACTGTGGCTATGAACTTTTCGAAAGTTTATCAAAAGTTTCGTAGTCTTTCAACTTGATGTCACATTTATGAACAACAAACTTTGTTCAAAACTTTGAATTAGTTCTATGAAAGGAAAAGTTAGCTCCGAAAATAGTGAAACTTAGAATTTTCGTCGCCATTTTATTTTTTGTCGCGCTGGAAAAGCGGCCATTTTCTTTGTGCCGCGTCGCTTACGTCTACTTTACATGGCCTATGAAGTTTAATTTAGTTAAGTTCAGCCGTGATCTCATTTTGAAGATTGATAGGTTTGAAATAGTATTACTTATTAAGAACGGTACGCATTGAAACTTTCCGCACGAATTAGTTTTTGTGTTGGCCTAATTATTGCGTTGTGTTAGTGGAGAGTGTTAATTTTGTTGTTTTGTAACATAGGAGGGTGGGCGCGACGAATAGCTAAAGGGAACATTGAACAATGGACGACGATCAACAGTTCTGTTTGCGATGGAACAATCACCAATCTACGTTGGTGTCAGTTTTCGACACTCTACTCGAGAAGGGAATTCACGTTGACTGTACTCTGGCTGCCGAAGGACAAACTCTAAAGGCGCATAAAGTTGTTTTGTCCGCCTGCAGTCCCTATTTTGAGGTGGGTATCATATTAACAAACTAACTAGGTCAATTGATTCATGTATAAGTTAGTGCAAGCTAGCACAGTTTTGCTCTAATAAACATTCCAGTCGTTTCTAGCTTTCGTACTTTACAAGCAATTAGATTATATTAATGCATAGATGAGTTGGCAACTGAAAGTTGTTCTTACAACTTTTCCAAATACTCGTTTTAGAATCATTAATGCTGTTCCTTTTACTATTAGTTAATCTTAATGATATATAAATTAATTAAACCATTAGAATGACCTTAACAACATTCCATTTAAAAATTGCATTCCTATCTTCAATAATAACACATATAAACAAATGTCTTATTTATAAACTATACAATTGTTGCAGAATGTATTGTCACAGCAATTCGACAAGCATCCAATAATTATCTTAAAAGATGTGAAGTATGCTGAATTAAGAGCTATGATGGACTATATGTACCGAGGAGAAGTGAATATATCCCAAGATCAGTTAGCTGCTTTACTGAAAGCAGCAGAATCTCTTCAGATCAAGGGTCTATCTGATAACAAGCCCTCAAGGCCTCCGTCGCGCCCTACCCACGTTACACTCCCCCCTGCACACCCGCCCAGAGCGCCATCACCCCCACCACAGGTAAATATAATATTTGTTTAGATATTTTTGCATTTATATTAGGTATTATTTATCACAATAAGACAATCACAAAATTTTATTAACCTTAATTTAACACAACTTTATAAAATATCTTTAACTTTTTAATAAGTTAAACAAAAAATTACATAAACCTAACTTATAATTATTGAAGAATTGTAAAACTTTCATCAATATATGCATCATACCTTATCCTTTCAAAATCCTTTTTAAAGTTTAAAATAATTTATGGATTACATTTTTTTACTTGAGCATATTCTTCATTCTTATAAATACATTATGTTAAACTAACTTAATAATAGGCTTTATAAAGTTTTAACATGGAATTTTATTACATACATTGTGTATTACATTAATTAAAACTGAAAAAAAAGGTAGAACAACAACACACTTTGAACCACTATAAGACATATGTTTGTATCATCTCTCTCTTGGTATATACAATCCCTTAAATTATTACTAAATATAATAATTGCTAATTTGCTTATCAATTTTTTTTAATTGAGCACCTACATTGCATAAGTTTAAAGAAGGTTGTAATATGCCCACCTGTGAATATTTAAGATTTTTTGGACAAACAGATATTTACTCTTTACCTAATCAATAAATACATAATATTTGTGAAAAAGAATAAAATTTATTTATTTATTCAAAATCATACTTATGTAATATTTTGTCAGCCTTTGCGACATAATAATATTTTGTTGTCGGTACATATCAATTATCCTAGAACAGAAACATTAAAATATCTGGTTTCACTAAACGAATATTAAAAAAAACCAAGATTTTAAACATTATTTTGACCACCAGGTTCGTGATGGCAGCATCGACAGCCGCGAAGGTTCAATGAGCCCGACCAGGCGCCGCAAGAAAGTTAGACGTCTCTCCAACGAACATGTGACTCCCGTTGCCCCACCGGTCCCTGAACATGAAGAAATACCGTGCAAAGAAGAAGTCTCCAGGGATGGAGTGGAGGACTTGACACTCGATGAGGATGCTGGAGATCCGCCTGCTCAACATAACGACGTCGTACGGAGTGAGTCTTTTATTTTAATACAACTCCTAGAAAAATCTTCTAAATTAAAATTTGTTAGATTCAAGCGTCGCAATTTAAGTATTGGCAGTGAGCACATATGTCTTAGCAGTTTTTAATATTTTGGTATATTACAGATTTTATAGTGCATTTTTTTATTTTTGTTTACTTGTAAAAGGATATGGGAAATGTTATGCAAACAAATAATGAACAGAAATATTAAAGCATCTTTTATCGACAAAGCTTTCTTAATTTGAAATTACTTAAGTTATAGTTAGGTATAATCTTAATGCATTTAGGTATTTTAATAATGGATAATTATATTGCAAATATAATATAACCTGTTTCTGCAATATTGGATTTCTTACATATTAGGAAGATTTTTACATCCTGATAATATTCAAATTCACAAGTGTTTGATTTCTGATGGAAATTCTACTCTAGCTTGGTTTCTACAGGGTCTAAGTATTAGTTTGTTGAGTACACGCTACATTATTTTATGGGGTTGGGTGTTAAATACCCCCTTTTGCGTCTATTATCTAGGTTCGGCCTCTTGGACCCTCCAGTGGTTTTGCTCCGGAAATGCGTCTAAATATTTTTATAAAAATTTGTTTTGTGTAATGTTTAAAATTTGTAAACATCCGCCATTTTCTCTTTTCTATTGGTTATAAGTGATTGACGTTCCTTAAAAAATCGTGTTTTTAATTTATCGTTGTTAATAATCGTTTTATTTATTTATCGTTTTTCCTCATTTTTGAAATTTAAAGTTATAGAATAATCACTTGAATTACCTATTTCGTGTTGTGTTTAGGGTTCCGAAATTTTTTGAAATTATCGTCCTCTCGTCGTTTTTCTAATTAGTCTTGTTTTCTTGTTTGCCTTTCTATATTATTTAATTTTTACTAGAATAGTGTTTACTTTATATCCAAAAAGTACCCAAAACCGAATCAGGCCCCCCTTCCCGTGGTCTTGTCGTCTTCCCCTAGAGTGTATATAAATTCGGAGGCGCGGAGGAAGGCTGATTTGGTCGCAAGGGTGGGGGGCTGCTTTCCCGTAGCGCCGGAGCTGTCCACAAAACAATATTATTTGTTGGTTGGTTAGGTTGTATATGATATTTGGTCGCCGAAGGCGCCAGGACGCCGGCGGCTTGAATAAACAATTCTATTTGTCGGGCTGTCCACAAAAAATATTATTTAGTTGGTTAGGTTAGAGTTAGTATTGAATATTTGGTCGCCGAAGGCGCCAGGCCCGAGAAGCCGAGGCTTGAATAAACAATTACTATTTAGTCGGGCTGTCCACAAAACAAATATTATTTGTTGGTTGGTTAGAGTTAGTATTGTATTTGGTCGCCGAGGCGACCGGGAAGCCGAGGCTTGAATAAACAATTACTATTTGTCGGGCTGTCCACAAAAAAATATTATTTAGTTGGTTAGGTTAGAGTTAGTATATGAATATTTGGTCGCCGAAGGCGACCAGGCGCCGAGGCCGAGGCTTGAATAAACAATTACTATTTAGTCGGGCTGTCCACAAAAATTGGTGGTTGGTTAGTATATGAATATTTGGTCGCCGAAGGCGACCAGGACGCCGAGTAGCCGAGGCTTGAATAAACAATTACTATTTAGATCGGAGCTGTCCACAAAAACAAATATTATTTAGTTGGTTAGGTTAGAGTTAGTATATGAATATTTGGTCGCCGAATTTTCAATTATTTTTAATATTAAAATCGAATACAAAAATCGTTTTCCTTTTAAAAAATCGTTATTTTTCCTCCCTATTATTTTTAAACTTATCGGCCATTTTGATGTGGTTTTGCTAGACTAGCGGTATTGTTTTACAGTGCAGTTTCTTTTATCTTTATAAATTTTTGACGCGTTTCCGGGCAAAACTCACTTGGAGGTGTTCCAATGAAGGTCCTCCGAGACTCCTAAATAATTAGTATCGTCAAAAAAGTGCGATGGTATTCAAAACTGTTACCATTTTATGATTTATTAAGTATTTTTAATATTTTGTTAAACTTAGTTTTATAATTTCAACTTAATTGTAACCAAATTATATTAATTTGACATATTTTCAAATCTGTTTAGTATATTTAACATTCTAACAAATATAACATCTCGTTTATAATTTTAAATTAACTACCACTTTTCAAAGGTAAAGGCAAATATAGAATATTTCAGGAACACAACTTGTCTGTTTGTAAGTCTTAAAACACAAGAAAAATGTGAACATATGTTTATTTTTCCTATTAACATACAATCTAAATTCCTTAACATGTGTTATTTCGCTGAAATGGAAAATTTGTATATAATCTTGAGATGAGAGCATATCAATGAACTTAACTTTTTGTTTGTTGATTTTTTCAAAAGGAAATTTTACATATAAGCTGTGCTGTTGAGTAAATACAATGTTAACGATTATTTTTACTAATTAGCTGCACTGCAACTAGAATAGTAGTGATGTAGCCATAAGTCTAAGGCTGCTCAACGACTTGCTCGAATGCCTAGACCTAATTGGACTTAAATAATTCGGATAGGGATGATGTTTACAGAAATGTGCTTTTTCAGATTTTCAATGGCACATGGAACGATCTCAAGATGAAATAATGAATTCAAATGACAGTGTTCGAGACTCGCAAGGTAAGATCTTTATTATTTGTGAGTGGCAACACTCGCTCGCAATACTGAACAAGTTGCATTGCCCTTTTCCACACAATGCAATTTGTTGTGGGGTTCAAGTTATCTATTGGAACAATCAACTTGTTTAAACTATGATTTTAGTGGAAAAGTTGCTTGATCCAAAAAAGAAGGAACGGATGAAATGCGCAATGTCTTCCCATAATTTGAAACTAGACAAACAGTTATCGCTTAAAATGTATTTATTATCTATATCAATATTATCACACCGGAGTCGAGAGTGCTAGTGTTTTCACATGTGAAACTACAAACAATACCTAATCATTATCTAATTTTATCAAATACTAATCCTATACCCGATATCTATGTATCAATTTTTTCCCGACGAGTTTTCAGGTTTAAGGTATTCGGTAAAGGTTTTTTTCTTTTTGTAGCCTTTGAGGCGAGGTATTTTAAGTGAGCCGAGAGGTAAGTATACCTTTTGATATTATTAATTGGCTTATGTTTGTATGTGGGACCTTTCATTGCATGTACCATTTAATGTAACGGTAACCTTAAGTGCTAACTTATTAATTACTTAACCGTTTGGAGCGGGATGGTTGCGGTAAGTGAGACATTTACGTACGGTAGTATATTATCGATTATATTATGTAGATTGTGTGCACATTGCACTTTCGCTAAATGAATACGAATTACAATTTTTTCCGCTAAGTTCGGGTTTACTCGCCAGTGCTATTCACGAGGACAAGCTTCACCAAATGAAAAAGAAAAGGTAATTATTCTGAAAATGACCTAGTTTTTGTTATGTATGTTGCTTATTTATTTATTTTTATTATTTTTTATTTGCATTCACATGTGATTTCACTGCAGTTTACTTTTTTATCAGTTCATGTTTTACGTTCAAATTCCATGCATGTTCACTAGGCCGGCTCCGACTAAGCATGACGTTTCAATTTCCTAGTGGATGCGCATTTCATTTTCCTACATTACTCTTAATACTTTGACAATTGTAAGCTGTGTAATTAGGACGTGTGCACACGGAAGCGAGGCTAGACTATACCCTCACGACCTCATTACATAAGCGCGACCGCAAGCCGCCCTCTGTACATTTACCTTGTGCTTAACCACTCGTTGTGCTTTAAATCCTGCTTTATCATTGCTTTTATTTACCCTTGCAGAGCCGTTATGTAGCCTCCTGACATTCGCTAAAACCCCATTTCCATTAACACGTGGCTTGCTAAAACGATGGGAGGTTATCGATACGGTCCCTGTGCCTTCCAAAATTGTTAAAAAAGACAAGTATAAAGTGAAGAAAAAAAGGGGTAGAAAACCGAAGGTGAAGGTAGAATGCGAAGATTCGACGGAAAGGCGTCACGTTTGTTCGATTTGCAAGAAAAAGCGCTATAAATACAGAAGAAATAAATTGAGGCACGAAAAGTATGAATGCTTAAAAGGAAAGCATTTCGGTTGTAAACTTTGTGGAAAGAAGTATTCTCAGAAAAAGACCTTGCTTAGCCACATTTCTGTAAAGCATACGTTTTGAGCTTTTTTCGCTTTATTTACATACTCATATTTTCTATTTTACTTAAGTTTTTTTTTCTTTTTACCCAGTTTTGTAAAACATGAATTGTTTAAAGAGTTACAAACTCTAAAACTTTTTTTTTGATAAGGTTTTGATCTCTTATTAAGTGCCATTTGTTTCGTAGGTTAATCATGTAAAGAATCATTCCGACCCTGACTCTACACGTCGTCGGAATGATTTTAAATATTCGTTATATTTAGTTGGTTTTCATAAGTTTATATTGCGTTGTCGACTTTACAAGTTTCTTTTTAAATATATATCGTTTGTTTAGTTGAAATTTGGGTTTTCTTTGAGCTTAATTTATTTCCCGCCCGCACCGACCTAGTCGTGTTATTATTCTGCAATCTTTCTATTTCAGGAGACAAAACGCCGGCGCGCGGTATTATGACTCGTAGTAAAAAAGTGTGCGAGGAGGCGACGGCGACCACTCTGGCCATCCTCAAGAACGTGACTAAGATACCGGAGATGACGCCTCCCGAAGAGAGCAAGGAGAACAAGAAGCAAGCGCAGCCCAAGGAAAGGGCGGGCGAGAGGGAGGAGGCCCGCTGCCACATCCTGCCCCGCGGCTCGGCGCAGCTGCCGTGCGCGCAGTACAAGACGGAGAAGGGCTACAAGTGCCCGAACTGCCAGCGATGCTACAACGCGCGCAAGAACCTCGTGCGTCACGTGACGCTCGAGTGCGGCCGCGAGCCCCAGTACAAGTGCCCCTACTGCACCTACAGCAAGCATCGCCGCAACGAGCTCAAGAAGCACGTCGAGAAGAAGCACCCCGACTGCATGCAGCTGGCGGCCAGCCCCAGCCCCGTGTCCGTCAAGTGACGCGTCGCTCGCGCGCCCGAGCGCTCCAGTGCCTTAACGATCTTCCTTTTACTTATACGGTATTAATTATATAGTTAAGTCTCATGTATTGATGTCCTATTGATATTGGAATATTTTTTGACCTATTAAACGATTTTACTCGACCTCGGCCTCTCATTTCGCCCCGCCCCGACTTATGGGAAGATACTCGGACGACTTTTGTATTGTGCATGTTTGCATGGATTAGAAGCTTCGCCTTATAATTTCTAACAGAGATTTTTTTATTATAACGCATTTCTTTGGTTCCTTAATTAGCCTTCGGTAGTATTAACACGGACGTAGTCGCGCTCGATTCTTTATTTGCATTACGATCAATTGTCGCATTTCAGAGCTTCACAAGGATAGCCATCTGCCGTCGGCTCTATTGTCCCTGCTGTCGGTGCAGCACCGGCAGCGCTCGCTGGCCGCGGCCCTCGTGCCGCCCTGCATCCAGGTCGGCGACATCATGAAGCCGACGCGCGAGGACCTCCTCTACCCCGCCGCGATGGCCAAGCTGCCCGTGGACTCGTTGAGCGCGATCCCGGAGAACATAAAGGCGCACCTGTTGCAACAGGCCTTCATGCAGAACAACAATACGGTCGGCCAGAGCGCGGAGTACAAGAGAGACGAAGACTCGGACGCCGAGCTGGATGACACGGACGACATCGTGTTGCCCGACGAGGCCGACGGGTCCTTCGGGTCGGGGGGCGGGGGGGAGTCGAGCGAGACGCGCGAGCGCAAGCGCGACGGCAACAGCTCGGACGACGCGTCGCGCCAGTTTGAGTGCCGACACTGCGGCAAGCGCTACCGCTGGAAGTCGACGCTGCGCCGGCACGAGAACGTGGAGTGCGGCGGCAAGGCGCCGGCGCACCAGTGCCCGTACTGCTCGTACCGCGCCAAGCAGCGGGGCAACCTCGGCGTGCACATCCGCAAGCACCACAACACCGAGTGGTACCTCTACGCCAGCAACAAGGTGCGCCGCAACAAGAAGACCACCATCTAGACCAAAGTCCACCCTTTACCAAAACGATTACGCGATAGTTGTAGCTTTATTTTGTTCGTCGATGACTTTTACGCGCCGAAGGTAGTCGCGTGCACATTCCCCGACGGCGTTAGATATATTTTGTTGTTTTCGTTTTAGAGTCTATTTTATTGTATTGTTTCTTAGTTAAGACTGACCCGAGTGTTGTTGCGGCGGCGCGTGCCAAATGTTTACGACCGCAGTCTCCCAAATGTATTTACCAAATTGTTGAAATCTTTATTAGTACCTAGTTTAGCGGCAATACTAACTCGAATTTTATAGTTATAGTATCCTAACATTCCTCCGAGGGATAATTCCATACTTCACTTAGTGCAATGATATTGTTAGGTGTTAGTCGCCCGCCGGCGGCGGAGGGCGTCGGCGGTGCGTTACGGGGACCGTACTCGTCTTCCCAAATTGAATAATCCAAAGGTGTTAAAGTATATTATTACGTTATATTATGAAATAAATTATTTAGCGATAGGTTAAACGGCGCCGAGGCGTCGGGTAAAGAGCTCACGAAGTGCCTACGATGTTACCTTTAGTTAAATATTTGTTCGGTTTTCGGTGAACTGGGATCGATCGATGTGTTCAAAAACGTTTTATAAAATTATTGATATTCATTGATATTTAATTCGCAATAACTTTTTATATATCGTTTAAAGTATACTGTTGTTGTTGTTTAAATAGGATTACAAAGCTATTTGACCAAAGTCAGTATTAGTTTAAAGGTGTGGAGTGATGAATGTTGTTTAACCGTTACGAGTCAGTTTTGACGTTCCACCATATCATGATTGTTGAACGTGAGTTAATATTATTTTAAGTTCACTTTGTTTTTTAATATTATTCGAGACTTAGTTTAATCATTTAGTGTGATTTTATATGAATATATTGGGGTTTATTTGGTAGAGAAGTTTAATAAAATGTAACTTTAGATTATTTTTTTTGTCTTTTTTTGCATCCTTTTATATTGTTTTTTTTTTTTTGCTTGTAGCGTCGTCGGTAAGTGCAACGTTTTCGTTATATAATTGCAATTTGGCGCATGTTGCACGAGAGGCTCGCTTCGTTCACTTTGGTTTTCTTTTCTTTGTTTTGTTCATACTAATCTAATGACTACTTTCAGGTAGACAAGAAAGCCCGCGGGTCGGGAGACTACATTCATTTAACACGTTTACCTAAAAAAAACAAACCGGTGACTAAAACCTATCGGTCAATTATTCGCCTTTCGTTTAACTCTCGTTCGATGAGTGGAAATTAATCGAACGAACGATCAAATTCTTCTCTCATTCGAGTTCATTTTAAATAAACGTTTTGTTTTCTTTTTTTGTTCTTTTTTTTACTTTTTTCCTCTCGCAACGCTTTCATCACAGCACTCGGTGGACACTCACAGTAGATATGTATGTGTATGTACTTATATGTATCGTATGTATATAACACGTATATCGTGCTTGTATCTGTTAACCTCACGGGAATGTCGAATGTGTGTGCGCGTGCGCTTGAGATGTCTATAAGAGTCGGGGGTTTCAGGTGGCGTCGCGACGGAGGAGTCGTACCCGCGCCTCGGGGGCTTGTCGTGGGAGCATTGGTCGGCGCGCCTGGCTCTACCGCTCGTGGCCGGCATGAGCGTGGGCGCTCGGTCCTTGCCCGCGTCGCCCGGCGAGTCCAGCTTCACATGCCCTGACTGCGGACGCGTCTACAAGCTCAAATCGTCGCTGCGGAACCACCAGAAGTGGGAGTGCGGAAAGGAGCCCCAGTTCCAGTGCCCCTATTGCGTTTACCGGGCCAAGCAAAAGATGCATATAGCCCGCCACATGGAGAGGATGCATCGCGAAGTGACGATTAAGCCGGAACAGTACATAAAGCAGGATAACGTCGATGCCTGCACTTAAATCCAGACAATACTCTCTATACTCATTATGTTAATATCGAACGCCAGATTTCCCGATTTTGCCCGATTGTGATAAATGTGATGTAGTTCCTTTTGTGATAGTGGCAATCGGTCACGTTAGATTTAATCTCTTGCAGCTGACTGTGCATGCGCCACCTGAATCTTTTTCGTAGTCGACTTGAGTCAAGTTCTAGTTTCGAAGATTATAAAGTTCCAAAATAGGATCGTCGCAATTATACATTAATTTTAATGTTTGTTAGACCCGTCCGCCCACTTCCAAGTCCATGCACAGTCTGCCCGAAGACGTTACCGCAGGTGGTCGCGCGATCGATACCATGAATTTATTTTGATACGAATTTTATTAGTATTTGCATCGTTCGGAGTCGTAACCGTATCGGCAACTCGTGCATTTATCCAGTTTAAAGGAAACTGATTTCATATAACGTATACAAGCACTTATTGTGTAAACAATCATTCCTATTCGAATGTTGCGTAGCTTTGTTAGGTCGAGAGAAATACTTTAAATGTTGTTACCATTTCAGTTACTGCAACTAAACCTTTAGCGTTGCGTCGATACCTTGGTCGAAACGTCGACGAGTTTTGACTAGTGAATGTTTATGATTAATTTTAATTATTAGAAACTATTGATGCTATTTTCGCTTTTAAGCAGTTTAGGTCTTTGCCATAATGCGTTCCATTATTTTTGTAATACTCATAAGTTTAAATATTTTGATTCGATTATTTTAGATCTCTTTACACGTATTGCATTTATTTTATACTACGCGGTTAAGTCGTATTAATTGTAAGTTCCTGCAGACGAATGTTAATTTGTTGTTATTGGGGCCAATCGTAATTGTTAGTGTAAGGATTGACCGGAACGAGTGCCTTATTGTTAAATCGAGAGTGTATCTGTGTCTATGAACCGAGCACAAAAATGATTTTTCGGATGTTGAAATCTTCCACGTAGTATATAAGTATTTTATATTTACCATTTAGCGTTTATAAGTGATGTGGCGTATATATTAGTAAAGTTATTCTGTTGGCTTTGCAAAAACGCGAAACGATGGAATAACCGTACCGATATGGAGCCGCGTAGGAACCGTTCGCAGTTACCATCGTACAATCAATGTGTAGAGCTCACTAAGTACAACAGTCATTTACAGATACATAAGTGCCTTCTAAAATTAGTCATTAGGATTTAAAATGTGTTTTAAGTGAACAAGTATATACTCCCAACTCAGATGTGCGCCTCGGTTGTGATGTTCCAATCGTGGGATAGAATCACGAGAAACGAGTACAAGATAGCTGTGATAGGGCGAGGCTCAGGGCGCGAGTGCGAATGACGACGTGCGACCCAAGTGATTTCAGAACTGACCTAGTTTCACAATGCTTAGAGTATTTACTATATCTGACAATAAGACAGTGATTAATTGCATTTGATTGTATTTTTATAACCTTTTTGTATTTTAAATAAAGTTGCTATTCTTGATAAAATCTAGTTTTAATTAGATTTGTGTTAAATTTAAGATGAGTATGTATTGAATTTTTTTTATACCTGCATAACAATTCTCGATAACTAACCCCGCATGTTCAATTCTCTTGTACCTAATTGAAATGTATTTAAGGTGGACGCCGGTGCATGTAGTCCATTTTAAATTCTGCTCGACTATTGGTTGATAGGTTGCATGATGAAAACACAACAGAGGTAATAGTTGTAGATAATATCGTAGCCGAATAAGGAGCAAATTAATGGGAGACATGGTGCATTATCTTATGCTTATGGTAGCACATCCCGGTGCGGTGGCTTGGCTTCACTGGCGGTAGCTTCATATTATTTGCACGTATTTATTTTTGTTTGCGTTTTAATTTCAGTTGCGCACTTGTACACACCTTATATATTGGGTTATGGTACTGCAAGTTTGAGCGGCGGTAAAGCTGGGTGGACGCTATATGAGTGCGTCGATTGTGGGAACAAATACAAGCACAAAGGATCGCTACAAAGGCATATTAAATACGAGTGTAGGAAGCAGCCCAGTTTCAAATGTCCGTATTGCGTGTACCGCGCCTACCAGAAACACAATCTACTGCTGCACGAGCGCCACCTGCACAAAGATTTACCAGAGAAGGTGGACTTTGTCTCTGAATGACCCGGGCTTGGGTGAAAACATGTCAGTAACCTTTGAAAATATTAACTAACGACTCGACTATGGAACGCAACACTAACAACTTTAAAAACTGAAAGTTACCGGAAGCTGGAATGTACAATGTCCTTTTATTTTTGCACTACAGCTAATTTTCGCTTTTTATTGTTTTATGAATATTGATTTTTAATTTACTTATTATCGAATATCTTTTACAGCTTCACGATCGCCGGATCACCCGTGCAACTTACTTAACTTTCAAGAAAGAATTCTTAGAAGCAGAAGAATCAGGTTACCAGCAACAAGTTACCATTAGTGTGTTATAACTAACTGCAATAGTTTTAATTGCCGATTAAGTAGAGACAAAATTCAGTTAAAATAAACGGTCATAAGGTGAAGGCCTTGGTGCTCAAGAATCACATAACCATACCAAAATATGTCTTGCCATGCCATTTTTATGGTCACTTTGGTTTTCAGTAATGGTATTTTTATAGAGTAGGTATAGTAGAAATGGTAGTCGACTTCAGCGGCAGCTTTACAGCATAATATACATCTTTAATGACCAAATATTTAGTCAGTTGAATCCAAATACTAATCTTTTTATTAATTTATATCCTAAGACTATTGTTTAAGACATGTTTTTTTTCGATAATTTTATACGTATTTAGTATTATGCATAGATTGTTAAATTCTTGTTGTTAATGTTTATTTAATGTGTGTTCCTTGTTACCAAAGAAATTTATAAATTAACTTTGACACATTGTTGAATAACTCGTATTATAAGGCCAGTATTCCTAATAATGTGTACCTTTATAAAGTATTTTTGCATTTGTTACTGTTAATAATAATTAAGTTACCATCGAAGTTCAAAAATCATAATAACCAAAGAGTTCAGTCGATTCTAGAATATATTTACTCTGTGCCTTACTACACTAAGAAACTAAGTAAGTTGTTATTAAACTATATAGAGAGAATGTTTTTGCGCATTAGCCTTTATTATAATGCATTTTTAAAATCTCTTGCTGTCAAATATGACCCAAATTAAAATTTATTCTTGTTGTTTTCTACGATCTTACTTATACTTGTTATGTTATGCCAGCCCAAAGACGCAACATAATAGTGTTTGCTTAATGTTAATGAAAAAAACCTTATTGGTGGTGGCAGTAAAAAGAATTACTTTATATTAATAAGAATTAGTAAAATATTATTTTGTATCGTACGAATGACGTAAGAATTAAAGCGAAGTTAATGTTACACATTCACTTTCGTTCTCTTTTCTGTAATTGTTAAAAAAAGCTTACTTAATGTGTTTGTTTTTGACGAGACCACAATAAATTGTTAATACGACTATCATTAGGCGAAAATCTACTAACGTTTTTTACCCACCAAGATATGTTTTTGTAATAAGGTTGACCTATAATTAGTTTATAATTGGTATTAGATGATACAATTTATAGGTTTCAGAATTGGTAGCTATACGAAGGATAAACACAAATCGTTACTTAACGTCATGTTCAGAAATTCAAGGTTTAAATTGTTTACATTTTTTACTATCGTTTACTTTATGCTTCAAAAATTATATCTTAAATGTTTTCTTGTATACCTAGAAAATTTATATTTTCTTATGGAAATATGGATTACTGTTCATTATAAATATGTTACGAGTAAAAACATTAAGCACAATAATTGTAATATGCCATATTTTCGAAAAAAAGGCGCACAAATAGCAGACTAAAGTCTACATATTTTTCTACCATGGTGTGGTTTGTTTTTCTTTATATTGTGTATGTGAATAAATGTTAATGATTTAACAGAATCAATTTATTACATTATTATCACCCTTAGCGATTTGTTTATAGGCGACAAATAGTATTTATAAAGTGCGCTCAAGTACTAAAAATTAAATATTCTGGAAAGTCTACACACCTTTAAATAATTTATTATTTATGAAATATTAGTGTTACAATATTTGTTACTCTGCTTTATTATTGCATATAGGTACCATTTTAAGTTGAAAATTTGACGTAGACAATAATAACGTGTCAGAAACATTTTTGTTTGTTTCAGGTGATACGGATTTTATGAAATCGGTAATGCATAATATGATGCCAGCGCTGAAGATGCAGATTTATGACAGCATGTACCAGTGTGAAAAGTGTAATAGAAAATACAGACATAAAAGTACATATAGAAGACACGTTACGTATGAATGTGGTAAAGAACCAAAGTTCAGATGCCCCTTTTTCGATTGCACCTACAAAGCATATCAGAAAACTCACACGGACGCACATGTAAAAACTAAGCATCGACTAATGATGGTGGAATACAAAGGATGATAAGTGAAGTGATCTGCATAGTACGTTGTGATATTAATATATTTATTACGTTATTTAATTGTTCTTTCTTTGTTTTAGGCATGATAATACTGCATCCTTACTTATCCTTTAATCACAGTGACGATAATCTGTTACATATTAAAAAAGAAAACGTTCTTGTTCCTATATTATATTTAAAAGAAAGATTTCTACTTTGCTTTAGTGACATTAAGGGTGTTTCAAATCTGTGGGGGGAATGGAGCATTGGCGTATGTAGCGCAATTCTTTTTCTCTTCGGCCCTCTTACAATGTTTTTTTGGAGGCGAGACTAAAAGGAGAATTTATTGAATATTAATTGCAATACTCTAAAATCTAGATAAAGGACCACTACTTTAGTGTATTTCAACGTTTTAATATGTACTTAGGTTGTTTTGGACATACACCTAATGCACAAACATTGAAAACCATGTACTTATTTCATATTCCGCCACATAAATGTAAAAAGTACGTGAGATAAAGGTAGAATGATGTAAACAAAGACCTATGTTCTTGGATCTGCAGTTTTCAAAATCTTATTTTGATCCGTTTTTAATAATTATTTATTAATTGACCTTCACAGAGTATCTCCTTTGAATGCATTAGATTTATCTGTCAAGATCATGTTCCAAGGCTGTCAATTTGTCAACTCAAAATGTATATTGTCAACGACCAATCGTTGATAAAAAAAAATTGCAAAACAGAGGATTTAGCTAAATATTAACTAAATTAAAATGATTTAAAGTTTGTTTTGTAAAATGAACCGCCTTATATGCTTAAACTCTTGTTATATTAACACGATAAGAAGTAGTTACAATAAGTCAAGCCAATTGTTATTGTCACCTAAAAGTGTGTCTCCAGAATTGCTTATAGTAAGAAAAGTACACGAACAGAAGAAGATACGTTCAACCCTCAATTATGTGATCGCTTTAGGAGTTATGACAGTAGGTTTAAGTTACGCCGCTGTACCTTTATATAGGATATTTTGTCAAGTAAGTAACCTCAATTATTTTCCTTATATTTGTGAATAAAAGTTATAGATGAAAGACGCTAAGTGAATTTTATGAGTTATCATTGATGATTAATGTATATAAACTTCAAACGAAAACTATGTGAAAGATGTATCCTCTTATATTCATAGTATAAATTTGATTGTACAGGCATACAGTTATGGGGGTAGCCTAGGGCAAGCCGATGCAACAGATGAAGTAAGTAATATGAAGGCGGTAAAAGATAGACCTATCAAAATAAGGTTTAATGCAGATGTGGCATCCTCTATGCAGTGGAATTTTAGGCCACAGCAAACAGATATTACAGTAAGTATGCGAATATTTTTTAAACTTCAGTTATGTACTAACTTAAACTTCCCCTTACATTTTCCTTGTGTCTTATACTGCATCTAATTACAATACTTGTGCAAAAATATGTAACATTATATTTCAAATTACAGTTATATGCTGTTATTATAATCAAGGATTTTATTTTTATATAATGGTTTTGTTTAAATAGAATTATGGATAAACATATGAAGTTAGTAATAAAAGTGTGCATATGTTTTATCCTATTATATATTTCAAAACCTTTTAAGCAAATTTTTTAATTATTGAATGGTCTTATAGAGAGATAATGTTATTATTAATTTTATAGGTATTTGTCTAAAACAAATTGAATATATCGACGTAGGAAAGCATATTTGCTGTAAGTAGACAAAATACCTAAAGTGACTTTTTCCTGCCATTAGAATCAGAAAAAAAAGCCGCATCGAATGACCTGGGTCCTGTGTCTCTACGATGAAAAAAAAATTACATACGCCGTTGAAAACGCCCGTACTTATATTATTTTTAGCAAGATTAAATGCTGTATGTAGACCAAAATCTAGTCATTTCAGACATTTTGCACTTACAGCAAAAGAAAATCTGCATTTTTTTCTTTACAAATACTTACTTCTTCCCATTTAAAAACTTAACGCTACTTACAGCATTTCAGCGGCGTGTGATTTTTACATTCGTTTACTTACAGCAAGTTTAGGGAACCTACAGTTTTGGTTTTTTTTTACCATTTACGACATTTTATTTCAACCAAACATTACATTACCAAATGACCCACTGCATTTCTAGATCTAATCATAATTATAAACTAATCTTACATCTTGAATTGCAATTAAAAGTACCCAAATACATAAATTTCCTGCATACAGCATATTTACCGCCTGTAAATTGATAATATTTCCGCGCGTACATTTTTCTTCCTTAGTTACAGCGTTTTAAAGGTTTGTGATTTAAAAAACTGTTTGCTGTAACTAGCCAAACACGTACTTATAGTAACTTTGGATAAAAAGTTTACATTGCAAATGGTGACTGGCAGTTAAATAAATATATGTTTCAAAAATGGTAGCAATATCATGGATAGGTCAGACACTATTAATTTTTTTCCGAAATTAATAAAGTTTTTTGGCTCTGGTGAACAATTGCAATATGTCTACTTACAGCAAATGTGCTTTCCTACGTCGATATGTTCATTTTATATTTGCAGGTGGTGCCAGGAGAAACAGCTTTAGCTTTCTACACAGCTAAGAATCCCACTGATAAGCAGGTGGTGGGCATTAGTACTTACAATGTGGTTCCATTTGAGGCTGGTCAATACTTTAATAAGATACAGTGTTTCTGCTTTGAAGAACAAATGCTAAATCCACGTGAGATGGTAAGGTTTGATCTAAAGTATCATCATGCCTTGGCACTTGCATGTATCGTTACAAAGCTTTTTTTTTTTATTTTATTAATTTTAAAATATTTTTTTTCCATCTTACAAATAACTGTATGTATATTCAAATGTTAATAAATTGTAAACATGCAATTATTCCCATATTAAGGTTGTATTAGCCCACACATAACAAAGTAGCAGCACAGTACAAGTGCCACTTCAATGTAACTTTCAGTAATGAAGCCAAATTATAAAATTAAATAAGCGTAATGCAATATCATCTTACATAACCTGGATTTCTACAATAATTTAAAACAGGTGGAGCCTGAGGAAGTTAAGAATGATGAGCATATTTATACAGCTAATTTGCTCTATCTAGTGCAACTACATAAGAAATAATTTTTTTTAAGGCAATAACATTTTATTTATTTATTTATTTACAGCCTTATATCAGAAATACAAAATATATACATTATAACTGTTATTTTTCTTAATCTACGATAACTGATTCTGTGTGCCTACGGGCAAAGGCCTCCCCCATTGTCCTCCATTTCTCCTTATTGTATACCAATCTCATCCAGGTCTTAGTCTTTCCAGCCATTTCCATGATTTCATCGGCCCACCTTTTGAATTGCCTACCTCTGTTTCTTTTATGGCCTCTTGGTTGCCATAGTGTTACAATTTTGCTCCATTTATCTGCTCCTCTTATGGTATGTCCAGCCCATTTCCATTTTAGTACTTTTGTTTTATACACAACGTCAGCAAACCCTGTTTTATCTCTTAATTTTTTGCTACTAATTTTATCAATTCTTCTTTTCTTTATTATGCTTCTTTCCATGGCTCTCTGGGTTACACTTAATCTTTCACATTGTGCTTTGGTAAGTGCCCATGTTTGACAGCCGTATGTAAGAATTGGTAGGATGCATATGTTGAAAAGTTTTCTCTTGATGTGCATGCTTGTTTGACTATTTTTCATAACTTCTTTTAGGGACCAATATCTCTTCCATGCATTTCCAATTCTTCTGTCTATTTCTTTTGTAGTTGAATCATGGTTGGATATCAGTTGACCTAAATAAAGATATTCTGATACATAATCTATTGTGTTGTCATCTATTTTTATTACTCTGTGATTCCTGCCATTGGTCATGGCTTTAGTTTTTTGGATGTTCATTAAGAGTCCAACTTCTTTGCTAGCTGTATTCAGTTCTATGAGCATTTTTTGTAATTCTTCTGCCGTATTTGCAAATACCACTATGTCGTCCGCGAATCTCAGATAGGTCAGTTTCTCGCCGTTTATATTATTAAGGTCATATTCTGTCCAATCTAACTTTCGGAATATTTCCTCTAGAACAGCTGTAAACAGTTTAGGCGATAGAGGGTCGCCCTGTCTTACTCCTCTAAGGATATTTATGTCGCAGCCTTCCTTTTCCATTTTGATCTTTGCTGTAGTACCTGTGTAGATGTTCTTAATTATCCTTATGTATTTGTGCTCCACACCCTGCTTTCGCAAAGCTTCCCAAATTTTTGAGTGGTCCAGTGAATCAAATGCCTTGCAGTAGTCTACAAAGCAACAGTAAAATTGGATGTTAAATTCTTTGCACTTTTCAGCTATCTGTCTAGCAACGTGCATGTGATCCACTGTCGAGTAGTTGTTTCTGAAGCCTGCCTGCTCCCTGGGTTGATTTTCGTCCAAAGTTTTACTGATACGGCTTAAAATAATTTTTGAAAATACTTTATATAAGTTGGACATTAGGCTTATGGGCCTATAATTGCCAATGTCATCTCTGTTACCTTTTTTATGCAGTAGTTTAATAGACGATACAGTCCACTGTTTTGGAATACTTTCCGTTTCCAGGATAGTATTGAAGAGTTTAGTCAGGAATGGTGTAATTATATACTTTGTTTCAAGCACTTCATTTGAAACATTATCAGGACCTTGTGCTTTGTCTCTCTTCAATGCGCTGATTGCTTTTTCGACTTCGCGTTTCATAATGGATGGTACTTTATCTGAGTCAAGTAGTTCAATGTGTTCAATTGTTGATCTTTTTGAGTACAGTTCTCTGTAATAATCTGTGGCAATACTTATAATATCTGGTCTTTTAGTTTTGTCTTTACCAGATAAATCTTTAAATTTGGGTATCCATTGCACCTTTTCTTGTAGTAGTTTTATGGTTTTTTTAGTTCCTCCAGTTTTATCAATTAGGTTTTCCAAAGTTCGTAGTCTATATAATTTCCTGTCTTTTCGCATACTCATTCCTAGATCTTTGCTTAGTTGAGCAATGACTCTTCTAACTTCTACAGTTTTAGGGGAAGTTTGTATAATTTTTCCCTTTTTTCCATTATTTGTTTTGTCTTTTCCGACACTATATCTTTTCCTTTTCCATGTACTTCTTTTTTCGTACTAAATTTACTAAAAATATCTGAGAATTTGCTGTAGATTTTCAGTGTATTCAGCTCTGATAGATCTTCTTCTATGTTCTTCAATTCTACTTCCAGTTGTTTGGCTGTTAGTTGTGGTCCTTTATTTTTCGTTGTTTCTTTTAGGCAATAACATTAACAAATGTTAAAGAACTAAAAAATATTGCAACTATACTACAATTTTCCATGTTGTAATTTTACATATTATTTCAATTGAATTGCGCATTATTATGGTTAAACTAATTTTCTATATGAGCCATGTCCACATTTGGTACTTTATTATCAATTGGCCTATTTTCAGGTGAACATGCCAGTGTTCTTCTACATAGACCCAGAGTTCAGTGAGGATCCAAAGATGGAGTACATTGATGAGATTGTTTTGTCTTACACTTTCTTTGAAGCTAAAGAGGGATTCCAACTTCCCGTTCCTTCATATGCTAAGTAATGCACAAACCTAAGTATTATAGTTATAGAAATATTGTGTTATTTAATGACATTATTTTATTATAAAAATGTTGAAAATAGTTTTATTTTTCATGTTATCCTCCTTAAAAGTTTCCATTCGTTATACATTTAAGCTATAACTGAGTCTGTCGCTGTGGTCCAGTGATTGAAAACTTTGTATGTATTGTATAGACAGGAAGGACAGGAAGTCCTGGAATCTAAAAGAGTAATAGTGAAAGAAATTTTAATAATAATAATGTATTTATTGCAAGAATATGGTACAAAATGTTAAGGTGATACAATCGTAAATCGTTCGCATATTCTGCCACACACGAGGGCGCGCAAATTTCTCATAAGGAACTTTACATTATTAGTCAAAGTCAATTCTTATATTATCTAGTCTATTATACTATATACATTACATCATTAATTTTATATCAATTACCGTGTTTCACGCAAATAATCATTTATTGAATAGTACATTTATTCTAAAAGTAATACACTAAGTCGCTTTTTAAAGACTCTAGACGGAAGATCTTTTAATTCTTTTGGTAATTTATTGTAAACTTTAATTGCAATACAAAAGGTGTTATAGGTGTTAATAGATCGAAGATATCAAAGCCTGAATATGAAAAAATTTACTGTCATTAATTTTCGCGTAAAGGGAGCGTTCAAGTATTACGTAACGCAGTTTTTAAAGATTTTAGAAGCTCCCTCCCCCCCATGTAACGCACCATAACGTTTTTCTGTAACCCCCTCCCCTCCCTTAACGTTACGTAACATTTAACCATTAAAGAGAGTTATTGTATTAATTGCGTTTGCAGTTGTAATAAACAAAAGAAGAGATTTTTAAGTTATATGTATAACATCCATTATATGTTCTAAAAACTTTTCTTTGTGATTTAGTTTTTCTTTAGCCGTTTTCCAAATTTCGTTGGCATTTTTTGCAAAATTGTGCTGGCAAGTTAATATGACAGCTCTTATATGCCATGAACAGCTGATGATGCAAATCTCCCGCTTTCGAGGGCATTACGGTATTTCCTCAATCTTTAACAACACTGACAACAGCAATGTGCTTCTGTGTAAACTCTAATAAAATAAAAATCACTTACACACAGTCGAGGGATTCCCCGAAACATAAACTTAGGAGAGCAAAAATAAAAGTAACGTACAATACAATAAAGGGATTCTCCGTACAACATAAACGAAAAGGGTTGGCAATTAATCCCCCAGTGTTTTTTATTAGAATAAAAAACACGTAACGCGTTGTTTAAATAACCCCCCTCCCGCCTATGTAACGCACTGTAACGTTTCAAAAGACTTCCCCCTCCCCCCAAATTGCGTTACGTAATACTTGAACGCTCCCAAAGACAAGAAGAAAAAAGTATTTTTATTGAAATTCGTATTTATTCATTTAATTTCGCCAAATTTTAACTAAAAATATAATAAAACTATTACACATTATGCAATTACCAGAAACCGTTTGCTATACATAAATATTTAACGTAAGTACCCTTTTTAAATCACAGTATACGAGCCCCGATGCAAATTGTTCGTCTAGTATGGAAAGTAGTGCAAGCGTAAAATATAGAAAGTATTGATAAAATAACTAAGAACGTTTAATATTTTAGTAAACCACAATTTGAGAAACATTTAAAAGTTTATTTTAACATAACTGAAATTCTTTCACGACTTTACATAACATAAACAAATAAAATATTCCAAAAATCATAACGCAAAAGCATTCGTCTACCCTTGTCACTCACGTAAAATAGTTCGTCTACCACGTAGTTGTGTCGCCTTTGCTCTCAATGACAGCTTTAATGCGAAGAGGCAAGGTTGCACACTCCTCAGGCGTAACTGACTCTCAGACAGCCAAGAGTTTAGCCTTAAAGTCGCTCTTCGATCTTGATCTTTTGAAGTTATACTTCTTTAGGCGCGTTATGAAAAATTGATGAGAGTGAAATTTTACGATGCGCGCGCACCGTGACACAAAATTAACAGAATGAAGTTGCCCACGGAAGATGCGGCATTGGACATAATTTAAAAACAACATTCGAATAATAATAGAATTTATAATATATATAATAATAGGTACACTTAATGCAAGAGAATAATAATAAATATTTATTTATTTAATTTTTCAAATGTAAACTGAACTTTATTGACTACAATGACTCCTTTTCCAGTCTTTGATTATTTAATTGTAATTAATTAGTTGCATGCAATCAAAAACTATTTTTAATAATGCCAAAGAAGTATAACTTACGCGCGTACGTACGCGCTTTTCCACCATAGGGTTTCGATCGGCGGCAAGTCCGGGCTGTTAGATGGCTATTCGATTGTAGGGATTACGGATTATTGTAGGGCTTTTCGCCAGTATTGCCACGTCATTGTTGCAGTATGGCAGGAAGCACCATCCTGTTAAAAAATGGAAGGAATCTTGATACTTAAGTGATGGAATAGAGGGCAGTAAATTCTCTACCAAAAGCTTTTGATACTTTGCAGCATTGATAGAACCATCCACAAACTAAGAGACGCCGGAAGCTTCACTTTGCGTTTGAGACAACAGTTTGAAATGCCTCATTTTTGTTCCGAATCACTTTTTTATACTGATTTGATACGCCACTGACGGGAAATCCAGTTTAAATGATCAACCTCTTTTTCTTTTGTACAGCAGTCAACAGTGATTCCTCCTTTTTAGGACTCTTTTGCTAGTATCAACTGAGACGTCTTTGTGAATCATGTCCTTCCATTGAACCGTGAGTTCTCCGGCTCGAGCACGACGATTATTTTTGATAATTCTCTTCAGGATTCTGTTTCCTACTGCACCAGTCTTTAGATATTTGGTAACTTGATTTGCCAGCATCGACCCCAGAAACTATACGGTTTCGAAGCTCTTCATACACGGGTTGCCACGTTTGTTATTTGAAAACTAATGAAAAAAAACTTAAATTTATACTGTCTCACTTGACAAAGGACACAATTACTTTTACAAATTTAAATTATAATTGTACAAAGAAGGAATAATCTTATTTAACTCACCGATAAACGAACTCTTTTGCATCAATTAACAATTAGACGAACTATTTTGCTTATAACTTCTTCGAATTTAAAACAGGATATGTATAAATTTAATAAGCTAAAATAGTTTGTTGGTTCCTAATTAAAAAATGGCATAAGTAACGCGACATGTGATAGTAGAACAGTTTAATATTTTATATACATATATACAAAAAGAATGAAGTTAGAAAAAATCTCACAGACAAAATTTCACACTAGACGAACTATTTTGCATCGGGGTTCGTATTACCCCCATACGCTTCACAAATAGGTGTCTCGAAAGAGTCGAGAAAACTATTAAACTGCGAGAGAAAGCGGGGAATGGGGGCTTGTTGACGCTGAAGTGTGCGAGTCGAGTATACAGCAGAATGGTTGTTTCCGGCAGCGGTGATAATTGTCCGGAACGTAAAATCTCAATCTCTCCGAGATGGTCTTTCCAAACTTGATTAAAGCTTAATCCCTACGAACGTCTAGTGAGTCATACCCTAAAAGCTCCATCAAGAACCTCGTATGGTAAAGGTAAGGAAAGAGGTTGTATTTTTTATATCACGTTCTAAGGAACTTCTTTTGTACCCTTTTGATTATTTCCCCTATAGTATTTTTTATGAGGGACCATATCACGCATATCATTTAGGTATTCAAAATAAAGCCACAGTTTGATTCCACATTTTATTTCCAAAGTTAAGCTTTGATAGCAGCAGTCACCGGGTAGCCCCGCCTCAGTCCCATACATTGGTCCCTGTCTATGAACAGCGTGGTCGACTTGTTGCGCAGGTCCGCTTCCAGCCCCGCTCGTACGCCAAGTAAAGTCTGGTGAGTGCCTTCGGCCGTAGCTATCTTTGACCTCAAGGTCTCCATAGTCTCTTGGAGATCACAGCATTCTTTCACCAATCTGAAAATATTAGTCTTAACACACGCGAATGCCTTTGATTGATGACCTCAAAAGCTGATCTTTGTCGTTTAATGTGTACGTATACGAGTAATGGATAGTGTTCTCTCGCACAAACCTATTCTGCGCTTCATCTCGGCACTTCTCCAGGTGCGGTCTGTTGGTCCGAGCTTGGAGTCGGGTGTGAGCCACCCTCAGCGGCTGCAATTTGTCTTCGATAGCCTTGTTTAGCAGTTCTAGAGTCTTCTCCACGTCAAACATTTCTTGCTGAACCTATAACATACGTTTAATGCACTTGCCACCTCTTATCAGCAGTTTTATTTGTATATATTATTTTATCCTTTAAAACTTTGTCAAATGAAGGTAGAACAGCAGCTTTGAGAGACAAAATCTGCTTCTAAAAATATAGTTCAATATTTTATTAATTCAACTCTGCTCTTAATAACTTTGAAGTATTTCCGAATCAATTCGATTCTTGGGGTCGGCTTGGTTCGGCTCACCCTCTGGCATTGAGAATGTTTATGCGTCATCACTGAACGTCAGGTTTGCCCCGTTCTATAAAAACAAATGTATAAGCAGCAATCTCATACCTTGTGCAAGTGCAACTGCAGCTTGTTCTTGATCTCGATGGTCTCGGCGATGCGTCTCGTGAAAGCGCTGTTGGTGTTGCTCCATTGGTCCCAAATCTCCGTCGCCGATACGTTCACCAGGTTCTCGGCATCTGTGAGATTATTAAAAGGGGAGTGTAAATTAAAGACTATATTGCCAGTATTATAAATATTGTTATTGTGTTAGAGCAGTGTTCCAAATCTGAGCTTGATTTGAGAACTGACAGTGAATGTAAAATGTGTATTTTTTTTGACGTTCATAAGTGTACATTGTGTTACCTAAATGATTAAATGATTTTTTACTTTAAGCCCCAACCTTAAAAGGTTATAGCGCCACTGGCATGTCAAATATTTTAAATTGATACAAATTTTTCTTTACAAATCCAGAGAATCTAATATTCACATTTAATGGTAATAATAAATTTACCGGAGAGCATTTGCACGGCCTTAGCGCGTTCGGATTGCGACCTCTGCAGTGTAGCAGCACTGGCAGCTGCCCAGCGCTCAGTGTCACACACTGACGGGTCGTAGCGTTCGATGCCCGCGTAGAATTGCAGGCCCTACATAATATTTTCTCTAGTAGAATCAGAATACATCCTTGGCGATATTAAAAAAGTTTAGTTTTTTAAAGGATAAAAATTACAAATTTCTGCTTATTTTTTTAAAGTTCTATGATATATAAAGTTCTCGTGTCATGTTTGTAGCCAAACTCTACCGGAACGGCTTGGCAGATTTTGATAGAGAATTTGGAGGTTTGAGGCCATTAAAACATATCTACATATAACGATAATGAAAAAAACTACTTTTGCCTCGTCAGCTAGTTACAAAAATTATTTCTCACCTTGGAGAAGTTATTGAGCTGATGGCACATGTTGTCAATACCGAGGGAATATTCCTTGTTCCGCATGTCTGACTCCAACTCGTGTTGTGTGGCGCGACAGTTTTTAGATTGCTGACGAACCTGCGATACGATATGCTATTTGAAAAATGATTAGTAAATCGTCATGAATCGATTGATATTTAATAATAGCTTAGTTTGTTAAGGTATATAGGATCGCAAATCAGGTAGGTTTTAAGAAAATTAAGAGTGTCATCCAACAGCTATCATAACAACCAGTATAGATACCCAAGATCAGACGATATTACCTTCTCCAGCATGTTTCTGAACTTGTCCTGACACTCGCGTAGTATCGCCACTTCCTTAAGCAAAGACTGCTCTACAGCGTCATGGACTTGTTCCAGACCTAAAGGAGAAAGAAAAGGGGAGATACTATGACCAAAAAGTGAAGGGAAAGTGAGAGATCGAGTATATTTCTCATCATGACCTAACAGAATTCAATAATAATCATTATGTTACGGCATTGGTTATATACCAGTTTGATCCAAATTTTCATATTGCTCTCATTTATGTAACGACAAAGCGGTTTTTTGTTCAAATTTAGCCGAAAATAATACCACCATATAACTTTAAGGGTAACATACCTATGGTGTAACGCCCCATTGTTTGGTTACCGCTCTAGACTTACCCTGTCTTTTCTCCCGATGGTAGAGACACTCCTGTACGATATGCAGTGGTCCTTCAATACCGGCGATGGCTCGCTCCAATTGTCTTCGAGTGTCGTTCAACTTCTCGCAAGTGGATACAAGACGCTCCATTTCAATTGATACCTATTTGTGTCAATTTTAAATGATGTTAGTGACTTAAAAATTATTCTTATTATAATAATTTCTGTTTGTGTAAGATGAATCGGTCTTATACAATATTTGTGAAATGTATTTTGTTACACTAATTAATTTGTCACTAAGTCATTAGTAAATTTTCATCTTTTATTTGTGATAATGATACACTCACCTCATTTCTCCAAAAGGTCGTATCGGTGATACGTTCTCCGATACGTCTCCCAGAGTCACGCTGACCTTGAGTACCAATCTCATCAGTCTCTCTACAATAAATGTCTCAACAGCTTGATCTCATCGTAATGACACTCAACACGGGTTTTTAGTAAAAAAAAGTAATTTCCCTATTACTCATAGCTCAGTTTTCCCACAAACCTCAACATCCTCATGATATCATTTCTGACACGCTCCGAGAAATTCCGCTTTGCATCAGACTCGTTGTAATTCTTGATGCTGTTCTGGTTCCACTCGTATTGAGTGTAACGGGTGTAGAGTGCAGCTCGGGCTGCGTGTTCGGGGCTTCGGTCAAATCCTGTCACCAAGTTCGGGAAGCGAAGGGGCTCCGCTGCCATTCCCGTCGGGGTGTAGCAAGGATCTACCATCGTATTGGTTATAGGTTGCGATGGCCTGCCAAGGTATAAATCTAATAAGTAGAAACAGTTGTTTGTGTAGGTAGATTAACCTACCGTGGGGATTTATTACTATAACATCTACGCTATTCGTTTGCAGTAATATAGGCCTGGAATATCATAAACTTTATATAAATTATACATTACATAGGAGTAACTTCAATTTCTTCATAGCCCATGATTGGTCGCCAAGGGTGCTTTTTAGGCGAGTGAAAACAATAGCCCACTTGTGGCGGAATATTCGGAGCACCTGCTGTTTCCTTGACGGGGCTCCATTGTTGTAATTGCTGCAAAAATATATGAGATAGTGGGAATTACAAAAATTAGAGAAAAATTGTTTTACTAAACCGACCGTGCACATTGTTACTTCTTTTGCCATTTTGGTTAAATGTAAAGCTATAAATTTAAGAATTATATTAAACGTATAAAAATTATCCTAAAAAAACCAGCTACATAAAAAACAAAAGTCAAATTTGAATTTCGTGTCTTGATTTTTTTAAATCAGGACAGACAGGACAGGTTTTGTTATATATTATATTCTGTGCCACAAAAATAAACGTCGTACCCGTTCATTGCATGTCAACCAACGTCACAGTAACTTTGACAGATTTTTTATATACATCGTAAGCTAAGTCTTTAATAATTTCCTTTAATAATCTGTGGAACGAATTTCAATTTTCGAAAGGTACTTAATTCCACTTATTCACATTTCACAATTTGTTATTTCTATTTGTGTTCCTATAATTTCTGAACGATGTAGATTGTAGATTGATAATTATTAAATCATTGAGAATTTTTTTTTGCTATTACTTTGGATTAGCTATAAGGTTTGAAAAAAATATATAACCATTTCGTTGTATGAATTACTAGAGAAATGAGTAACATTCCTGAAAACGCTCCACATCGTAAGTAATTTTTCAAATTTTCATTATTTTTAATGTATTAATGAAAATTCATGTATTAATTACAATAACAGATTGCCCTGGAACTCAAAGTGAAGATGCTGGTAAAGTGTCAGCTTGTGCGGGATGTCCAAATCAAAACATTTGTGCTTCAGGTACCTCAATAACTATTACATTTTTAAAAGTGCCTATTTATTATAAATCTTTGCATATTTAAATTTCATTTACAAATTTTTTTCTTAATACAAGCTACAACACAAATGCCAAGGTTCAACTCTAAAGAGTCAAGGTTATCAAGAATTATTTATTGTTTCAAAGACATTACGTCACAAGTTTTATCATTTTTTAGTAATAACATTAAGGTGTGTCTAAGGTTTGTTGACTCCGCTGTCTGAGAACAATATGTAATAATAACAAATATTATTACAATACATATATAGAATAAAAACAGATATTCCACATCTTTTTTAATTCTAAATTAACATCTTTATAGGTATACCTGCTGGACCTGATCCAGCTATAGAGATAATAAGAAATCGTCTATCAAATGTAAAGCATAAGATATTAATTTTATCTGGTAAAGGAGGTGTAGGAAAAAGCACTGTCACATCACTGCTTGGTCATGGCCTGGCAGCTAAGAATCCAGATATAAATGTAAGTATATATATCATTTTAAAAATAATCCTCTTAATTTTTGTAATGACAATATTATTTCTTATATAAGCTATGGCTTTTAATGTTTGAGGTCTGATAAGCCTTAACTTGTTGAAACAGTAAAAGCATTTCATAATAATGCTTTTAAGATATCAAATCTATTATATATATTAAATTAAAGTTAATATAGATACATTATTATATTATTGTAATAATATGCTTTGGTATCCTTGTGATAGTATAGTATATGTTTCTGTTCTATAGTAGCTTTTAGTATTAAAATATGACACCTGCACAAAAACAAGTAAAAGTAAAATATGGTTTTTCATAGATATTTAACCTACCTTTTATTTCCTGTGGAGAAACCTAATCATATTTGCATAAGCACAATAATAGGAGTACCCGTGACTATATGTATATGCAACATCTTCACAATGCAGGAGCACAAAGAAGATATTGTGTTTTCCCTAGTATTTCATTGGTTACAATTTCTTGAACCTATGACCTGCCGACAGACCGTTGTTCATACATATAACGCAATGTGCTCTTATTGAAGCTCTATGCTATATATGTATAGCTCACAAATAGATCATAGATAGATGGGAGCAAATGGTGGAATAACGTAATAGTATATTTATTCAAAAAAACATACCCGGTTATACCGCGAGCGTCTTTCGTACGAACTCCCGAATTCCATATTTTATATTTTTTTATATAAAGTTCCCGAGACACGTGTATCGATCTTGAAGGTTCGTGGGCAAGAATTTTGCAACACTACCTTCCGCATTACGACCCGTGCCACGCTCCTTGTGGTACAACCTTGGGTACGTATTGGTATATAGGTCAGGCTTTACTCACTATGGAAATGAGTACTTGAAGAATTTATATTAAACTGTTTTAAAAATAAATATAATAATAGCTTAGGTGCGATATTGCACATTAATTTACTATTTCACTATGCTGCCAAATATATACAGTATATTTATTGTTGAATTACATTTTTCGTTCTTTTCCGAATCATCAAGTCAGGCATGCTCCGCTACCGCAAAAGCAGGCAGATGGGCAAACGCTATAATATTAAAAATAACCAGTGCCCTTGTGCTAATATATTGCGTAATTAAAAATAAAATCTGCTCGGCATAACTAATACAGGACATGTTTGCCCAGAACGAAGGAAGGGCTGTTGGTCTGATGGACGTTTGCAAGGTGAAGTCCTTTCCCGCTTTATAATATTTGGTCATTTTAAAATCGTATATTAAGCCACGAATTGCCGTGTCAGTGTCTCGGGGTGGACTGCGGGGCGCAGTGGAGAGCTGGAGCACTGAGGCGCGCCGGCCCGTAACAACAATTAGTTTTGATAAACATTAAATTAATGTATTTTTTTTTCTGAAACGGATTACTTGGCTTGCGATAAAATATATCGTGTAAATTTCAAAATAATGTTCTATATATATTTTCGTCATAAAATGAATTCGGATTCGGATGTTTGGATTTTTTTCTATCAAGCGAAGTTATTTAAATCTTTCAAAATGGATACATAAACTACTCAACTCCACCATATATTTTTTCCATTCGCCCTACTTCAAGAAACTATTACGAAAAATGGAAAGAAACAATGTACTTTTTTGGGCGACCAGATTGGTCCTTAAGAAAGAAGTATGAAAAAAATATCATTATGCATATGAATTCGTCAATACATGCAATTCCTATAAAGGCGAACGCTCTGATCCGTCCAAATATCGCCCAATAGACACAAGAATAAACCTTGTTCTCCAAAATAATGGAAACCATTATTAACAGCCAGCTGAGATATCTAGAGGGCCAACAGCTGATTAGCGATGCACAGTGCGGCGCGACGATTAGGGTCGCCTTATTTAACTTTTTCCGTTAAAACATACCATTGTCGCTACTCCTCCATTCGTAGACACTCTTTTTAAAGCCACAGTCAGCATCGGAATACAGGGCGTTAACATATCCAATGACGTTCGCTTTTGGAAATTTGGAAGAAAAGGCTAAATTACCCTCCAATAAGCTTGGTTTGCTCAGCATGGCGAGACAGTACTTCACCCCGAGCTATCGCTTGCAACTGTATAAAGCGTAAATTTGGCCTTACATGGACACATACTGTTCTCACCTCTGCGCGGGAGCTCCCCAGTACCAGCTTCTTCCGAATCGTCGACGACCAGACTTTCCGAGCGACTATTTTTAAGGCACTTTTTTCTGCGCACCACTTTGTGTAACCAGCTGCCCACTAAAGTATTTTCACACCAATTCGATTTAGGGTCCTTCAAGAAAAGAGCGTACCAATTCTTAAAAGACCGGCAACGCGGTTGCTTCTGGCAGTGTGAGTGTCCATGGTCAACGGTATCACTCAACATCAGGTGAGCCAGGTGCCCAATGTTATTAAGAAAAAAGTGAAAGTGAAATTAATCCCTAACACCTTGTCATGCTCTGAGAACTACGCTTGATACGCTATTTAAATATTGATTGATATGAGGACACATGCATCCTATGCTAGCCAAGGACTCGCTGAATATTTAAATCGGATGATTGCTTACGTCGCCGCAGCCTGCAGTGAATAATTATTATGCACTTGAATTTGCATTTGGTTTGTAAACATGTTTTTTTGTGTACATTAAAGCATAGCCTCCGCCCGTGGACCGCTCTGAATTCGACCAATTGTGTTCAAACAGATTTTTTATACGTACTTATTACAAATTATTAGAATATACACTATTTTACAGGATACTTTTATTACTGTCTCAAAATTACAAAAGAAGTCGATTCGTATGCTTTACTCGGAAAATATTAAAATTCAAACTTAGACCTAAACAACACAGAAACATAAACTTCTTTTCGGTTTTGTCTTCAGATTGGTATCCTGGATGCAGACATTTGCGGCCCCAGTCAGCCACGGGTGTTGGGAGTGCGTGGAGAACAAGTACATAACTCTGGATCAGGATGGTCGCCTGTCGTAAGTATATTATTATTAGAGTCATTTCATCAATGTTCGTTCAAATATTACTATGTGTTTTTGTCCATAGTTTTTGGTAAAAAGGACTTATTTATTATTAACATAAATAAGTCCTTACTTCATGATTATACCAGTTAAATGACATTAGAGTTTAAGAATACAAAGAAAATGTTTTTTTGACATACGAGGTTATCATTCTACAGTGACGATTTGCAATATATTTTCAAGGTCATAACCATAGCTTTAAGGGCATGCTGTAACAATAGTTTGACGAATAAGTTGGCCAGTGCCTCTAGATGTGTTTTGGCCAAGTTACGTGCCGATTTTAGTATTAATATTTGCCCTTCTTACTGTAACTAAGTAAATATTACTTTTCTATATAATATAATCTTACGTAAGCTGATATGCAAACATTTCCCCACCGCGCTCTGTTTATGCTTTAATTGACAATATGTTGTATCAGCGATAAATATAACGTTCTAGTTAAGTGGCAACCTATTTACAAAATTATTTACTGCTATCGCAGTATGTAAAGGACAACCTTTCCCTGATGTCAATCGGTTTCCTGCTGGGTAGCCCCGATGATGCTGTCATCTGGAGAGGACCTAAGAAGAATGGTAAAATTAATTTTCTGATTATTTCATAACAAAAATTGTCCGATTTCTGTAATAAACTTATTTTTTTTAGGCATGATTAAGCAGTTTCTAAGTGAAGTGGATTGGGGAGATCTCGACTACTTGCTGATTGATACGCCACCAGGTAGTATTACCGATCTTAATAAACAATATACCCATTAATTGTAATGTAAACCCAGGGAAGGGAGAGTACAAGTAACGAATTATATGGGGAGGGGAGGGCGGATTTTCCTCTAGTAAAACGTTACGATGCGGGGCGGGGATTGAATTACGCGTTATTGTTAATATTATTTTCGACTTTCCAGTACTTTACACCACATAGTGGTAACTTTTAGTCAAGAATTTCCAAAATCTGCGTGACGTAATACTTGAACGCTCCCGAAGAGACTGGAATCCATTTAAATCCCAATAATATGCTTATAAGTTAATTTAAATATGATATTGAATCTAATCTGAACTATATGTTATAAATTTAGGTACATCTGACGAGCACCTCTCCCTGGTGCAATACCTGTGCGGGGCGGGCGTGAGCGGCGCGGTAGTCGTGACGACGCCTCAAGAGGTGGCGCTGCTCGACGTGCGAAAGGAGATACACTTCTGCCGCAAAGTGGCGCTGCCCGTCATCGGCGTTGTTGAAAACATGTCCCTCTTCGTGTGCCCCAATTGCCATGTGAGTTGTTCTTTAGTTTGTATCCTAAAAGCCCATCCACACGCTTGACAAACAATGGCAAACAGCTAACAGCAAACAGCAAACACGGACGTGTGGATGGGTGTTTGTCGTTGTTTGCCTGTTTGTGTTCGTGTTGGGCAGTGTTCGGCATCGGTGTCGGTTTATCTTGCCAGATCAAAGGATGTTTGGCAAACAGTTTGCTACGTATCCACACGTTTGGCAGCGATCAGTATGCGCGCGAGCTTGCGGGAGGCGGACGTATTTACTTGCTACACTTTCGTTGGCGCGCAAAGCGTAAAAAATGTCTGATTGGAGCACCTACGATTCTGACATTTTTAAGTAACTTTTAAGTAAAATTAAAAAAAAACACGGCAAAGTAAAGCTCAAATAATAGGTCTAAAGCCTTGTACGCTTTCTATGTATTTTAATCATCCACCATCGTCTTTGCTTTCTTATTTTTTTCCTTTTTTCTTTCTCTTGCTTTAATTTATAATAAAAATATGTCAACCCGAAAGTAATAGCTGCAACAAGCTCGTCGTCCGCCATGTTTGCCGATTCGGAATGTTATGAACGTTCGCCAAGCATGTGGATGGCTGTTTGTGTTGGGTGAGTGTGGTTGGTGTTTGGGACTTCGTTTGCTTTTTGCGGTGTTTGTGACAAACAGCCAGCGTGTGGATGCCCCATAAATTGTATCGCTCGTACAATTTATTGCGGGAATGTACAATTATTTTGTTTCAGAGCCGCAGTGAAATCTTCCCGGCCACAACCGGTGGCGCAGGACAAATGTGTACGGAATTGGGCGTCCGCATGTTAGGAGCGTTGCCTTTGGACCCGCTTCTCGCTCGTTGCTGCGACGCAGGCGACGATTTCACCACGCAGCTGCCGCATTCGCCGGCCGTACAACAACTGAGACTCATTGTCGATAGTGAGACTATATTCATTATATTACCGTTTTACCTCATTTGTACTTCAACGAACGCATACACACCAAACATGAGTTTCAGATGTCGTGTAACAATAAATGGGATACGAACAGTAAATAATTTTAACTCTGTTGTTTCCAGGTATAATAGCAGTCTGCGAAGAACCGTCTATTTAAATGGTGTCTAGAAATTATGAATTTATTACCTAGTCATAAGCTTGTAATGTTATTATGCTACTATAAAATTATTTTATGTTAAAATATCGTTTCATTTTTTTTATTGCTACAGGCAGTTTAATAATTGTATTCCTCCAATTTTAGTATATATACTAAAAGTACTGGTATGTACTCTTAGCCGTTTCTAGAAATGTCCGAGTGTGGACTAACGAAAAAATAATCTACAAAATAATCAAATCGCATGTTTCTACTTTCTGCCATAACCATAACAGTCTTCCTATTAACTAGTTCTGAAATCTATGGTTAGAACTTAGATCATGACCCATGAGAGCATAGAAGAGTGATCACGTCAATTGTCAGATTGAGTAATCGATGTGATTTCATAGTGTCGTTGACATTTGATATAAAATGAAAAATATTTAAAAAAAGATAAACTGAAAATATCTCAAATATATTTTATTATTCAAGTGAACTTAAATATCATTATGTGGTACCAAAGAAGGCTATTGCCACCGAAAATATAGCACCACATAACAAATCCTTACAAAAAGTTGCGTCATCTCTGCAATCATTGCATACGAAACATGCACCTAAATAATTAAAAAGCAATAAGTATGCCTTCTCATCAGGGTGAAGAAGAAGATAAACCTTGTAGAGCTTGTAGCGATTTTAAATCGTGGAGTAAAAAGACTAAGGTTAAAATCCAGACACCAAGTAAACCTGAACCGGTAAGTGTTTGTAACCTCATACTTCCAGAAAAATCTAGATAAGGTTAGCACTGCAATATCTCAATTATCAATAACATAAATTATCAAAGAAAGCCTTTAAAAAGAAAATGCCCAACTTATTCAAACTCAAAATATCTTTATTCATATAGGTAAACAAGTACACTTATGAACGTCAAAAAAGAAATAAAATCAATTGTAAATTTACATTTACTACCATTCGCAAGTCAAGGGCGTAGAGCAGGCTAGAAACTTTCCGCCTTCTTCTTTTTTATTGTTTATTGATTTCCCAAAATTATTTTAGCCACCATTGGAAGCTAAAGAATGTCCTTTAGATAAGGAAGAATTAGGCAAATCCACATGGGGCTTTCTACACACTATGGCATCCTATTATCCAGAAAAACCAACTAAATCTGAAGCTGAAAAAATGGTTCAATTCTTTAATATTTTCTCCCAATTCTATCCATGTGAGCCTTGTGCATTAGACTTCCAGGATGAGTAAGTACTACATACAATGTCATATATGTAGTTCTTTAATCTCTATTTTAAGTTGATTACTGGTGCCTGTAAAGAGACATTTGGTGTGCAACGATAAATTATAGTTTTGTATCTTTTATTTATTATTCTTTATTGTTGTTTCTATGTATTATTTTGTCTTGTTTTCTTTTTTGTCAATAGTCCGTGGAAAGATATTAATTATAAGTATTTATCTGTTTCTGTGTAAAATATTTTTTAAAGTTGTAACAGAAATAAAGATTATATAACCTTAACTTTCTTGAAGCACATACATCTGCATCCATTTCACTAATCAATTTTCTAAGGAGTGATACTTCAGCTTGAGACTAGATTATAATTTTAGCCATATTTTAGGTGCCGAGTATAAAACTTGCTCATTGTACTTGTGCCCATTACATTGGCATTAATGTTATCCAAATTATTTTTTTAGCATAAAAAAACATCCACCTAAAACAAAAACCAGAGAAGAGTTAGCAAAATGGTTGTGTGATAGACACAATACAGTCAATAAGAAGCTCGGCAAGCCTATGTTCGACTGCAGTAAAGTGCATGAGCGATGGAAAGATGGCTGGCTTGATGGCTCGTGTGATTAATAGAAATATCACAGCTAAAATGTCACTTTTCATGATTTTTTTTACATTATTCTACCAGTTATACCTATCATCTGACCTTACAATCACTAGGAAAATTGTTGCATTTAAAACTACATGACATTTTAGCTGTGTTTGTAGTATAGACAATATAAAACAGTTTTTAGTTAGTATTCATTCCTGCGAGTATTCACAGCTGGTGTGCTTATAAACAGGAATTGTGATAAAAGTGTACAATTTGTAAAATATATTGACTGTTAAATAGATAGTATTATTATTAATTCCTCAAAACATACATACAAAATTGTACTAGTTCTGATGCAAAGACTATCATACAATATAGTATTTATTTTATATTATAAGTGGGTCAAAAAATATCAATATTCCTCCACTAACAGCTGCTGTGCCATGTGGTCAACCACAATGGCTTAGAACAAAAATCAACATGTGTCAGGCAAATCACCCACATTTCTATAAAGAAATATACAGAAATCTGAGACGACTGAATTTTTCTAGTCTATGATATTTCCTTGACAATATTCCTTAAATATGCCATTAAATCAAACAATATTTATAAGCAAAAGTTTAATATCTTAATGAAGTATTCATCACATTGCCATTAACCTATAATAATGATCAGCTTAACGGGTAAAAATTAAACAAAGTTATTTTTAACTTGATCATAAGAACTCCATTTCCCTCTCGATCCCCACAAATTTCAATTGCTCTGTTGGACCGTATCTGAAAAAACAAAATAAAAACAATCAAAAATCTTCACCTTATAAGAAATTTTAAACATAGAAATGGACTCGGCCATACCTTTCCTATCTTTTTTAAAATTGTAACTTGAGTTTTGTCAAGAACATGTGAACAGTAGGTTAATAATTTTGCATATTTTATGGGATGTTTCATTAGTAAAGGCCCATTTAGATGGAGAAATCGTACGCGACTATCACCAGCAATAATCGACATTGCATTATCGTATCAAAATAATTACATACAGGCAAGAACTAAATTCTCACCTACGATTATGTCATACGAGATGCGTCTGTTTACACATCGACATTTTAGTAAGAAGTTTCTTACGAGAATCTCGACTAGTATAAACACGATCTCGTACGACATATTTTATGTTCATACGAGTATCGTACAGATCGGTTTGAACCGAGTGCGAGATGTTTCTTCGAGTTTAGTGATTACTAGGGTATTGTTCTCAAAAATGACACAAAAATCCTTTTCATTTTGGGGTTGCCGATAATAAAGTTAATTGAACTTTTTAGTAGTTACGAGTGTTTGTGGAACACGGAAAAAATATATATTATAAACCCCATTTTTTAAACCAAAATCTTTTTTTCCGTTTCCATTTCATTAATTCTTGTATTAATAATTAAAACTACGCACTACACTCATGGAAGCAACTGCCAAAAAAACTCGTCGTCACGAAAACTTTCCATTGCGAGGCAATTGTGGCCAAAGTGGAAGAGTGGTGTGAATGTTTAGACGAAGAAACTTTTTTATATTCTTTCGATTATCGTACCTTCGAGACGAGAAACTCTCCATTTAAATGGGCATTACGCAGAATGTATAATATGTACCTGTAGTCAAAGAAAAGCTCTTCACCCGGCTGTATGGCCCGCTTGGCGAAGATGCCAATACGGTGGTCTCCGTTCACCATCATCACCTTCGCGTAGCAGTTCGGGTTGATGGAGTGATTCGCGAACCGGATTTTGTTGCCTTTGCGAGTCGCATCCACTACAAAATCTGCAACCATTTATGTATTTGACTAATGCATTTCGTTTGTTTGTTCTTCAATAAAGATAAGCCTCGAAGACGCAAGAATTATTCTCCCTTATTGACGAACATGACATATAAATGAATTATTTAATATTAAAGAGATAATTTAGCAGACAAGTGGTTATATAATATAGTGAGTTTAAACAGATAATTGATGCCACTAGGCGGGGCTACGGCTTCTAATGAGAGCATGAGAGCATTAGAAGCCATAGACTAAGAGTACTCTAGTATAAAAATTAAAAAAAAAATGTTTTTCTGCATCTGTTTTATTTAGTTTACACAATGATAATATTCGTTCACCCATCGATACCTCAGTATACACATAAGCTCATACTAACCGTTGTTAAGGTTGAAAAGAAAAGAGCACATATACTTGTCGTAGACTTTTCCCCTTCGGTCGGCTTCGTCCTGAGAAATGATCTCTCCGCAGTACTCCGAGATGAACTCGTTCTTGTGAGCCGCCTCTTTCATGAATATACCCCATCCCGCGACGTCGCTCGGCGCCAAGAGTAGGTGTTTGTGGAGACCCCTGGGGGGTGAATTCATCGATTTGTTTATCGCTGACAATATACGACACCGGAGAGAAACCCAAAATAAAGGACCTCTGCACGGAGACGTTCTTGCAGTACGGCATTCGGGCGTCGGCTCCGCAGGCCGAGCACAGGTCGGGGTCGCACTCGCGCACGCCCAAGTAGCACGGGCACTGCTTCGTGTTGCACTGCGCCTTGCAGCGGCATCCGGGGAACCGGTTCTGGCCTGGGGAAGATAAAAGCTTCAGCGATCGCTCCGTCGGAGAGTTGGCAACGGGCACGTCACTCACAGTCGCTGCTGCACTGGCAGAATTTCTCGCAGAAGTTCTGTGACTGCACACAAGGGCACAAGTTGTCGCAGGGCTGGTTGGGATGCTCGCACGGCGTGTAATTGTATCTGCAGACATATAATGATAGTAATTTTATTTATTTTCTCCCTTATAACATATATATGATAAATATGTTTTATACAAAAAAATCGACAGCCATAGCCAATCGTGCATTAGATAGAGATATTCTATAGAGGTGCAAAGAGAGAATCGCTTGGAAAGATGATACAGGAAAGAATCATCATCATCTCACATTATGTTAAGTGATACCGTCGCATATGGACATTCTCCATGCTAGAGGGTTCGCGAATGAGTTGCCGGCCTTTTAAGTTGGCCACTGGCCTTACTTTGCGCATCATTTAAAAAATTTAGAAGAATTAAAACAACTTCATCTATCAATTAATTCATCCACCCATTTCGATATACAGGAAATCGAGCTACACTCGGACACCTAAACCGGAAACTTGGACTGTCACCAAAGGTGAGAAAACCCTTGTGCTTGGAAGAGTAATATCAGGTCAACAAACGTACACGTGATGCGAGGCAGAGTCCTTCTTGAGTTGCACCTTGCGGCAGTGCACGGACCACAGGCGGTGCTTCTTCTTCTTCTTTCTGGGCGGAGTCCTCTCCGCTTCTACGCCGCACCATTGGGCACCCGACTGCGTCCAGTGACGGTATACCTGCATCGACAGTTGTACTTTAAAGAAAATAACTTACATTTTTTCCCCAATTTGACATTTTTAATAGAACAAAAAGCTACATAATAATTTATTAAGTAAATAGTCTCACACACGCGCACACACATAAACACACACAGACACACCAATATTCATAAGTATAATTTACGAAAGTAGACCGTTGGTAGTAATTATTCATTAATTATTAATTTGGTTTTGTAATTTTTTAAAAGCTGTCACAAAAACTGATTATCCCTCTTGGTTTAGACTTGCATTCTTCATTTTTATATCTAAGATTACGTTATTATATCTCTTATTAAACCGAGAATAGAAAAAATAAAGTAAGGCTTAAAAGAAACATACAAAGTCATTCAAACATCACACAGCACACTGAAGCAATTAAGAAAAGAAAAATATTGAGAGAGAAAATAGTTATCGCGAGCACAGCCTCCGCATTTGGTGGGTTCTCGTGAAGTGTACGCCGCAGACTCCGCCCACCGCGCCCGTGTCATCACCAACCGTGGAAAAGAGGAGTGTTTTTCTTTAGAGAAGTGATGAATCATACTTACTAACTCTACGCCAATCGCTTTGGAATTTAGAGAGCGTTCAAGTATTACGTCACGCAATTTTGTGGAGATTATTGACTCCCCCCCCCCCGTGTAACGCGCCGTAACGTTTTTCTGTATCCATTAGTAAAACGTTTCGGTGACTCTTTATACCAAAGTTACCGTAATGTGGTGTAAAGTACTGGAAAGTCGAAAATAATATTAACAATAACGCGTAATTCAATCCCCGCCCCGCATCGTAACGTTTTACTAGAGGGAAAATTCGTTACATAATACTTGAACGCTCCCTTATTTCAGAATAAAAGAAATTCAGGATCACATCAAATTATGTAAAAAGTGAAATAATATAATAATAATGAATGATAAATGGCTTTCACCTGTTGGCAAGTCTTGGACAGCATCACTTGAGCAATAGCACAGTAATTGGAAGCGAACACCTTGTGCAAGGCGCGGAACAGAGATTGGTCGGAGCCCGTCCACTCGGAGTCAATGTCGCCCAGCGTCAGACCTGCACTCACAATGTATAAATGTAAAACAATTGGTTAGTTATACAAATACAATTTAAATAAATATCTCACCCAGCGCATTGTAAGCGGGCTCCGAGTCTTGTTCGGTCGCGATCTTGTTGCCCCAATTGCTGTTGCTGTTGCTAGAGTTGCTGTTGCCGCCTGGAAGTTGTAAGGAAATTATTAATGCAAACATTACTAGCTTCCACTCGCAGCTGGTGAATTTTATGCATTTTAAGCAAGACTTTTGCAACCTCTAACAATTACAGTAATATTTAAGTTAATTTACATGAAACCATACACTTCCTATTGGTGTAATCCAGACAAATGCGACCAGTGTGAAGAGTCATTAAATCCTTTAATTTATCGTTTCTCAACCATTTTTCTGTCGCGACCAACGAAAAAGGCAAAAAGTCACCGACAATATAAAATTATATTAATACTAGCTGCCCCCGCGAACTTCGTTTCTCCTTAATGTGAATTTATTTAGCCTACCTTTTTAGTACATACCACCATGTAACATTTTGCTATGCTACCCCAGAGACTGTTCGGTTTTCCGGAATCCTTAATATTTAAGGGTTTGAAATATAGATAGTAGCCGATTCTAAGACGTACTAAATATGCATAAAAAATTTCATAACAATCGGTCGAGTCGTTTCGGAGGAGTATAGGAACGAACATTTTCAACAGACTGCGACGACTTAAGAAACGATGCTCTAATCTAAAACCTAAAAGTTTGTCAATAAGTCAAATTTATAAATGAAATACAAAAATTAGTTAAAATACTTTATGATATACCTTTCTGAAATTTGTTGGAGTCATTGCTGTCCTCTGAAGAGGCGTCGTTGGGGGAGTCCAAAGCCTTGCTCTTGTCTTCCAGTTCCACGTCACCGGCCTCACCCAAGGCCTTCTCGCGAGCTAACTTCTCACGCATTCCGTCCTGCAATTTATTATTTTGAAGTTATACTTCTTTTGGCGCGTTAGGGATTAATGATGAGAGTTAATTTTGACGATGCGCGCGCACACCGTCACAACGGAAGAGAAGAACTGGCAATAAACTCTCCGCCACTCTTTTTAATCGCCATGTTTTTTACACAACGTTTGTAAGGAGCTGCAATCGTTACACCATGTTCCACATGACATCTTAAGTAATAAATAAGTAGCACCCGTTCACGAGCATGACGCATGGCCAGCCATCGGCCCCTCGACATATTTTAGGGAGAGAGACAACCCGACGCATGGACGCCGCCACAAGCAATGACATTTAAGCGAGCATGACGATCCTTGAAATGTGGACTTGGCTACATAAGAAAATAATAATAATACTACTTATTCCGAAATAATTTGATAACTCTTGGATCACGGTTTGTTCCCACTTTACATTAAAACAGTCGTGGATGTTGACGATGGCCCCGGAGTCTGGAAGTGCAGCCGAGAGATTCAGTCTAATGCGACTGAATTTATTATATTATACCTACTGGAGCAATTCATATCCATATGCACATTAACCGGTTTAAACCGGGTTTATATGTACATAATATACGCGTTTTAATCCGGTAATCTTTTATATTAACTATGCCAACTAGATTATCATTGTATATCAAACTAATATATCTTTAAGACTTTAATTTTAATAAAACAAAGTCTGAGAATAAAACGCCTCAAATATATAGTAATAGCACACAACATACCAACAGCATGTAACAATTGGAGCCGCAGGGCTCCGAGAACGGCGTTAAGTCGGGACCTCGTCGCTTGGAGAGGTTCGGACGAGGGTGACACGCTTGGAGACCTACGTTGACATTCATTCATCAGTTTCAGCTAAATACTAATAGGTCCAGAGCTTTTTAAGAGGCTGTATTAAGCCATAGTGAGCAGGAAATAGTTCAATCGTGTAATGAAAATTGTAGTCTTGATACATTTTTTTTAATTAATCATTTTTAAATATTACAAAGCAACCCTAATGCCAGGAGAGCGATCTCTGGGTCTCTTGATGAAGTTAGAGCCAATTAGGCTCCAAAACCTAAAAATACACAAAGATCAAACAAAAACATAAGTATGAATATGATAAAATAAAAATGCTAAAAAATGTATCTAAAAAGTCAAAATCATACATGACCAATGACCAATGACCATGAGTGCAAAAGTAAGAAGGGGAGGCAGAACAAATATGTTTGTGGCCTTACCTGTGGCCTGACTTCCTGTCAGCCGAACAGAAATGGATATTGTAAGGCCGAGATTAAAAATATAATACTTATACTATATAAAAATCTATGTAATTTAATATTTTGTCATTGCACTATTCAACATATGAAAAAATTATTAATTCAAAATATAATGTATGTAATATCGCTTTTTTTATACAGAACTGGACAGATGTTTGGCCAAAATCCCACCTGATGTTAAATGAGATGTGGCCTTTTGAAGGGGCAGTCCAGGAAATGCCTATTTAAAGTTAAAAACATTCTAACCCCGAAAACAAAATGAAAAGAAAATAGAATAATAAATCAATTTAAAAACAAATTTATAATTATATAAAAGAATAAAAAAATAAATCAATAGCGCTACAACCTCTTTAGGTCTTGGCCTCAGATTTCTGAATGTTTCATGATCATATTGAAAAAAAAAATTATAATACAAAAATAACCTCAAACCTGCCTACTTGTTAATGCAATTGGAACTGGTTAAGTAAGTAAAGAGACAATTCATATTCAACACTCACGATGCAAGAAGCAGTCGTACTTGAAGCACCTCCGACAGAAGAGAGTGTGGAAGGAATGCATGGTCTGGTCTCGGGCCACGCACTCGGCCAGAGGCCCGTCTATGTTCGGAGTGCACTCGGGGGGCAGGGCGTTGGGGTCGCTGCGGGACGTCAGTTCTATGTACCTGAAACGTTTCAGTATATGATAAATAAAAATAAATAAAAAACATAAATCAGTGGCATTACAACCTCTTTAGGTCTGGGTCTCAATTTTCTGAATCGGTTTCATTATAATTTTTAAATCCAATAGGCAAGTAGGTGATCAGCCTCCTGTGCCTGACACGCGCCTTCCACTTTTTGGATTTAGGACATGTCGGTTTCCTCAGGATGTATTCCTTCACCGTTTGAGCGAATGTTAAATGCGCACAGCCGAAGAAAAGTCCAAAGCCGTGATCCTAAGTTCCGCGCAATCTCACTCTAAGAGTACACTTGAACACTGTTTTTATAAAAGACTAAAATATCGATGAATAGTTGGTCCTTATGTAACATTTCACTTTTAATAAATTCTACACATAATGCAAGATGTCGAAAGCCTACTTTTCTCTTAGCTCTTGTGCCGTCCCCTTGTCTGGAAACTGTGAGCTGATAGCTTGAAATATTATGAAGATGGGAAACTGTTTCTCGTTAATTATCTTTTTTTCGCCATCCTTGGATTCATCCTTCTCTTTTTCCTTGATGTCTTTTGCTTCTTTCTATAAAATATTAATTATTAATTCTAACTACACATTTCTGAGTTTCTATCGTTTCTCATTTTTATTTGAAGCCAATCAAGTGATCAATAAAGCATTATGGCTAAGAGAGACAAAAATGAGTTTGAATCAAAATAATATATACATAAGAAAAACTTTAAAATAAATAAATGGCAAATTTTTGGAATAACTAACAAATTGCAGGTTTGTTTACAATATTTAATGCACTCACATCCTTATCTTCTTTAGAATTTAGAGATTCACGTCTCGTGCGCTCTTCGGCCACCTCCTCTTTAGTCTGGAAGCACATCAAAGCGTGCACGAGATCCACAAATAGATGATCGTCAATGAAACCACCTTCTTTGTCACCTAAAAGATTAAAGTATATATTTATATTTTCACATAAGAGAATGTATGAAATCATTGTTGAATATTGTTAATTGACAAGCTTATAATAGTTGGTGGGGTGTATCTTTTGAACATATGGGTGAACATTTCAAGGATTAAATGAGGCTTATTCAAATATAATAATAACTAAGCCTAATAAATTGATCACTTTGTAAAGAAATCACTCTGATCTATAACCACATTCGAAACTTACCATTAGCTTGTAAAGGTGCTACAAGATACCTCGGAGTTATTTTTGATATAAAAAAAGGTGCTGTACCCCTTCCGTTCCCTTGTCCATAGTAATTAGGTATATGCCACTGTATTCCGGTCCCCACATTACAAAATACACATACATAAATACCAGACATTTCAAGACATATTATTAGAAAAATTTGTCCTTTCTTTGTAAGTCTAGAGCTACTAGAAACAAGTCATACATACTTTTGGCTCGCTTAATTACTATTTTTAAAGCTTGTGTGAATAGGCCTTCTTACTCTTACAATTTAATTACTAATCTTCCTACTTGTGGTAATTCTGTTTATTATTCTTTTAATGAGGTTGTAATTTCTATTTTCTTATATTTTTATGTGTATGGTTTGTTTGTTTCTGTTTTTTGAAATAAGTTAAGACTGTCATCTCAAGGAATTTTTGGTAATAAAAATGATATGTGTATGCTAAGACTTAAACATAAACAAAAAATAGGAAGTCACCATGAACTTTTCCATCATAATTCTTTATTAACTCCTCAATAAAGGTTCCATCTTGATCCAATACTTCATCTCCCATGTAGGGAATGTTGTGCAGCACTGTCTCATCTTCCACCATGAAGTTCTTCTGTGTCGGAGCCCAGGTGTACATAGTAGGTATTGGATTAACTGAGTTAATAATGTGTATGGGAACTTGTTGTGTTAATACCACTCCTGATGCTGGAAATATCAGTAAGGGCTAGTTAAAATTCAAACTTTTACTGGCTGCATCATTAAGTGTAGATGACATATCAATAATTTTATTTATTTTACACTTATATTAAAATCTATATGAAAACAATGGATTTATTAGATTCCTTATATATATTGAATCTCATAATAGTGTCTATTATATAAATAATACTAGTGGACCCCACAGACGTTGTCCTGCATGATATTTAAAGCGATTAGGATATTAAGCAAAGTATGAAAGTACCGACTGCAGTGCCATCTGCCGGGCTGATTTGTGAATCTAAACCATTCCCAGATCCCCTTGAACACACACAAAAAATTTCATCAAAATCGGTCCAGTCATTTGAGAGAAGTTCAGTGACATACACACTCACAGAAGAATTATATATATAAAGATTGTATTATCTATATTAATGTTACAATAAGGAGCTGTTGTACGTAGGTCTGCTTTTAAAGAATACATAATTTATACAACAAGTACAAGTACACACAATCTAAAGTAAGAACTATATAGCTACATAGCTACATATTTGGAAAGCTAAAGCCAAGAGTTATAGTTGTTGTTTAATACAGGCATTTCTGGATATTTTATAACATCATTTCTTATTTTACAGTGAGAACAAAGGCCACAGTGTAAACATATGAGTGTATTATATTTTTAAGTTTATTTTTTTATCAAAATTATTAAATAGTTTTGTATATAATTTAATTAATCATTTGCTAATTTTAAACGTTCTTTAAATGTTTAACAATTATAACTCTATAACTTAAACATGAAACAAAATTACCATCAGTATACGAGACTTCCGCTCTTTTCATAAGGCTCTCGTGATTAGAGCTAGGTCCTGGCTCTGGCCAGTAAGGCCGCCTACCACGCTCACATCTCTCATTTTCGCTGTTTTCAACCGCCTCGGACATAATTCTTAAATTTCGCGCCCATGCAACCTTTACTTCGTCGGCACGTTTGAAGCGCTACAAATCAATAACTTATGCGATTACAAATTTAAAATAATACACAACGGTAAAAATACTTAAGTAGTCTGAACACAAGTAAAAACAATACTATGCCTTTGCCTGCCGGAGCCGCATGTATTCCGATTTCACCCTTTTCTTCCATTCTGCTGATACTTTACTTGGTTTACTCATATTCTACTAACTTTACAAGTCATACTAACATATTAATCATGATACTATACAGCATCAATTAAAAGATAAAACTGAAATCAACTAAAACAAATACGATGAGTGAGAAGTTATAATAAAAAGTAAAAACTAAAGGAATTTAAAAGATTAAAGAACACTTATTGTGTTTTTTTTTTTTTTTAAATAGCCTCACGCAGAGCGTATTGCCACAGACAAAGGTAAGGAAAACGGAATAGTAAAGAAAAATAATTTTACACCGAATGAACATTACATCGATAAAGGATAGGATCAGCAGGATATAAAACTATCTCTAATACAAAGTACTACATTATGGAAAGGAACAGTAATTAATAAAATATATATCATACAAAATCGATTTGTATACATATGTATGTACATATTTATAATTTTATATTATTTAGAGTAAGAAATAAACTCTTTTTATATATATTATTATTTAAAGATGAAAGCAGAACAGGAACAGATGTAGGTAACGGGATACTAGAAGAAGGATGAGAATGATCGAATAACATGGAGTGGTTATACCGAGGACAGGACAGAATGATATGGTTTAAATCACCAATATTCAGCCCACACTCACACATTTCACTATCAATAATATGAAATCTGGAAAGGTGGGCTGGGGTACACACATGGCCCAATCTCATACGAATGAGAGCGATGTTTCCTTTTTATTAATTTCATTTTAAAAAACCATGGCTTTAGTGGTATTGTGGGCTGTATACATGAAAAATATTTACCCTTAATTAAACTGCTCTGATCCAAAGGTCAGTCCAAGATTGTCGAAGAAAGAAGCAGGAAGTGAGGCCAAATCTGATAATATTTTTATCGAGTTAGAATCGCCATCCTTAACAGCTTCATTTGCTAGTTGGTCTGCTATGTCGTTACCAAAAATACCAGAATGTCCAGGTATCCAACCAAATGACACAGACAACCCCAATTGCTCACATTCATACAACAAACTCCTAATCTCAATAATGATAGGAAAAATTAATTTGTTTTTTAATGGATATTTTTGGAGAGCTTGAAGAGCACTAAGTGAATCTGTGAATATGATGGATTTCTTAAGTTTCTTACTCAAAACTATTTTAAAGCTTTAAAGATACCGTAACTTCCCCTGTGAAGATTGAGGACTCTGGAGGAAACATTATTTTTTTGTAGTTTTACTTTGTAAGTGAAATACTCCTATGCCTACATTACCAGACGAACCGTGTTTAGAGGCATCTGTAAATTGTAATTGTACTCATGGCAGTGTTGTTCACAGAAATAATTAAAAGTAATCCTTGCGTGGGAATCGCCCTTGTTTTACCAATTTGAATCTAATGTCTGGAGAAATAATTAGAGATTCAAAGTTGGTTCCAAATAAAGGGTAAGTTGGTAAGGTATGAGTTGGAGCTTGAATATTGATAAATTTATTGAAGCTGCGATGAGACAAGGTGAAGATTTATTTGACCAGTACTTGGAAGATGTCAACAATTGAGATAGTTCTTGCAGCTTAGAACGGAGAGGATGGTTGGCATATTGAAGGGAGCGAAATATGAATTTATCAGATAAATTTGTCGTCTAGATGTAATGGGGCTTCAACACATTCTACTTGTAAAGCATTAATTGGACTAGTTTTCATAGCTCCTGTGATTAATCTTAATGCCTTAGACTGTATATTATCTAATTTTTTTAAACGGGTTGCATTTCCAGGAGATAATAAAAAGGTACCATAGTCTAAAATACTTCGGATTAAAGCATTGTACATGAGTTTCATACAAAAGGGATGGGCACCCCACCATACACCGGATAAACATCTAAGAATGTTCAGGTTTCGCTCACACCTATTAAAAATGTAGTCACAATGTTTACACCAGAGAGCTTAGAATCTAAAAACACACCAAGGAACTTCACAGAGTTTTTAACAGGGATAATATTATTATCAAAATACACGTTGTTGGAGGAGGGAGACGCATTCTAGAAAAAAGCATGGCAACACTTTTAGTGGGGGATATTTCAAGGCCATTAGTATCAAGCCAAGTTTTTAATAAATTAAGAGAATGAGACAGTAATGAGCAAGCAATGGCCGGTGATTGATGAATGGAATAAATTAAAAGGTCATCAGCATACTGGAGAATACAAATCCGATTACCCAAAGAAGCTTTCAAATCATGGGTATAAATATTATATAAGATGGGACTTAAGACTGTCCTTGAGGAAGACCTCTAAAGAACACTTATTGTGTTTACCATGTTAAATGTTTACTGACTGTCACTCTTTAATATGCGAATAACTGGTCTATACTCTATAGGAACTTCATCTGTTCACTGTACAGATAAAGATTATACCGACACAATTTTAGACTGTAACGCTGACGTACGGCTAAATAATTGACTGTACTCTGTGACATAGTTGCTGATAGCTCTACAATCTATTGCGTTGTGAAGTTAATGTGTTCGCTGCCATTTTTTCTCGGTTAATTTTATTGGAAAATAAAGTACAACTAAAAAGGTGAGCATGATAAAGCAAGTATAAATATGATTTAGTCCTCTATGTATTTTACTTAAGCATGCCATTTTTAATCATAAATCATAATTTCGGCCACGTATTACGTAATTTGTTGTACTTCGTCACAATAATTTACTACGTAAGATAAATAATGCAAAAACATATATGTGAGCGATCTCAAGTGCAGAACGTACGAATGGTTGGCTACACCGAAAAGTTGTTCTGTTTGTAGGTGTGCGTATCCTACAAACTGCCGCAGGTTATGCGAAGAGGCTCGTATAATGACCTCGTATCGCAACGAGGTGGGTGCTTGGGATGGTGGCCCGCCCGGCGCCGAGGGGGACTACGCCCCGCAGCCTGCACCGCCGCTGTCAGCGCCCATGCCCACTACAGACCCTTGGACAGGGGTCAGCTACAATCAATATCCTTCCAACTACGACTACCATTCCTATGGTGCCCCTCAATATGGTTATAGTTATGATTCTTCTTACTATCAAAGAGCAGACAGCTATTATGATGCTCAAAGTAATTATTCAGGCCAGTACCAAAGCAGTTATGGGTATACAAAATCCATTGATCAGCCATCTGGTGAAAGTCGTAGCTACACACATAGAAGACCATCACATAAATCCAAGTCTAGAAGCATTTCTCCATATGAAAGAAGGGATCGACAGTATTCTAAAAGAGAATCTAGTTATGATCACAAATCTAAAACAAGATCTTTGTCCAAAAGAAAATATACTCCAAGTCGGTCATCTTCTCGATCAAAATCAAGATCTTATTCAAGATCTCCTGTACAGAGAAAGAGACACTCTGCTGACTCAGATGATTCCAAAAAGTCATATAGAAGATCCAGTAGGAGTGCTAGTGAACGATCTGTAACACCATCTGCTAGAAGAAGGAAGTCAAAGTCATTTCATAGATCAAGCTCCAAAAGCAGTGGCAGACAGTCAAGAAGTGTATCTCCTAAGTACAGAAAACAGAAAGATAAAAGGAAGTCACCAACATATAAGGCAGACAGATCGAGAAGTGTTTCCCCTAGGATAAAGTTAGAAAAATGTGGGTCTAGAAGCCGATCACCAAAAGTGAAACAAGAGAGAGATAGAAATGTGTCTCCATATTCCAAGTCAAAAGATAGATTAGGCTTTAGTAACAAAGGCAAGGATAAAAGGGTTAGAAATTTAAGTCCATTAAGAAAAGCTACAAAATCACCTTCACCTAAAATCAAATTGGAAAAAAGATCTGTAACACCATCCAGGAGTCATAAAGCTTATGATAAGTCCTCAACCCCTCCAAGAAAAAGCAATTATAAAGAGCCACATTCATTAATATCTGATAGACCTAGAGAGAGTTCTGTTACTCCACCAAGATGTTACGCCCGTAGCCCTTCAAGTTCGAAGTCACGTTCATCTCGATCATTAACTCCAAGAAGACGTAATCGGTCACGGCGCCGGTCCTCATCATCTTCATGTAATTCGTATTCACGCAAACGCTCTAGATCACGTTCTCATACTCGGTCGAAGCGTAAGAGTGTGTCTATTAATAAGTCAAGCAGCAGGAGTCCAACTCGTGTTCGTCACAGAAAAAGTAGGTCTTTATCGCGACATCGATCAAGAGCACGTCGATCAAAATCACGATCTCGTAGTGCGCATTCCAGTAGCAGAAGTGGCACTCAAACGCCAAGTGAGGACGAACGTCGTGGACAGTTTACTGTAGCAGATAGAAAGCGTTATTGGAAATTACACAGACATAATCAAGGTGGACGAGTTAAATCTCCAAAGGAAATAAAAGCGCCACCTGGAGCATTTGAAATTGCAAAAGTAGATGATATTGATTATGGAGATCCCCCTGAAGTAGAGGGACCCAATTTTGCTGAATTACTTCCTCCACCGGGTCAAGTTGCTCTTGAGGGGCCTTCTAGTTCAAAGACCAGTAAAACACCTCTCCCGATTCCTATAAAAAATGACGGAAGCTTTTTAGAGATGTTCAAGAAACTTCAAGAGGAGACAAAAAAACAAGAAGTTAAGAAACCAGAAATTAAAAAACCAGTTTTACCATTTATAGGAAAAAGGCGTGGAGGTAGAGTTCTTAAGACTGGACTCGTTAAAAAGGCTAAAGCAATTGATGAACAAACCGTTGACAATACACCAAAAGATGCTTGGTCTCTATATATGCAGGAAGTTAAAAAATATAGAGAGACGTCGTGTGAAGAGGAAAGAAAGACTAGACCACTTGTCAAATAGTTGTAGTTTTATATAATATTATGTACTTTTAATTCATGAATATTTTTTTAAAATCGTTCGCGTATATTGTAACCTATTATCGGAATTTAATTTGTCCTAATAAAGATAAAAAATCTATATTTTTACTTCTCTCATCATTGCAGCAGAATGCCTGAAAGTATCAAATCAGCTGCTGATATCAAAACCGCACCTTTCGACCCAAGATTCCCTAACCAGAATCAAACAAGGTAAAACTTTGAATTATTATAACATTACATCCGTACCGACACAAGGGCGATGGCGGATATTTTATTTTTAGCCCTTGTTTATACAACGATGTATTTAAAACATAGTCAAAATATAAATCTTAAGGCCATACAGACATTGGTCTACTTACAAATATTATATGTATTTATATCCTACAACAAGTGAAAATGTATGCAAAAGTTAATAAAAGATTTTAGGCTATTTTTGAAACTAAAAAGATGACACTTTTTACTGTCGTAGTTTATTATATTAAACGTACTTGACATTTCAGACACTGCTATCAAAGTTATGTAGACTTCCACCGTTGCCAGAAGGTGCGAGGAGAGACATACGAACCGTGCAATTACTTCAAGCGCGTGTACAAATCCCTCTGCCCCAATGAATGGGTCGACAAGTGGGACACCCAACGTTCAGAGGGATCTTTCGCGGGAAGGATTTAATTCATTCGTCTAGTTACTTAATTTATTTTTAATTCCTGTTAGGTTTGTTCCGATGTAGAATAAAGAGTTAAACTAACAAATTATTTTTAATTTTCTAGGTTTATTAGAAGTCTATTACCTATTTATCTACTCTAATCTAGGTTATCAATGATTTGCGCCTGCCTATACACCGTACTAGCAGTCTAAAGATAATCCTCTTATACGTAGGTCACCAAAATACCATTACTATTTTGACCAGAGCCGTACTAGCTAATTAAAACGGTATTAAATGAAGATGCAATAAAAATGCAACAAATTTATTAAAAATGACAAGAATCATTCAGATTTAAATGGGTCCTGGAAAGGCTCCCTTTCCACGCAGCTCATCCCAATGTTCGATCCAGAAATTCGGACAAATTGTTTGAAAATACTTCTTGAAGATTTTGCAATCATCAACGTCGCCTAACAGGCGCGTACAACGGTAGTAGTCACAGTAATTGTCGTAGCAGGCCCTGTCAAATTCAATTCTTTATATCATTTTTACTTCTAGAAGCAATATTACAACGTAATAATTGCGCTACATTTTAAACAGGCGCTTGAGCTCATTAAGTACGTATTAACTCACTTCTCTACACATGGATTTTAAAAAAAATGTACAAAATCAATGGTATAATAATTATTTAATTCTCACTTTGTCTGATTTTGAAATGGGTATCGAGGGTCAATCCTTAATGTCCTAAACTCTTGATCACACATTTTGCTTTAGAAAAAAGATGACTAAATTGTATAAGAAATGTTACAAAAACAAATATTATTTCAGGGCGTTGCTGTTTTCTTCATGATTGATTTATTTGTGATACTTAACAAACTTTTGAATGCCATTCTTTTATTGTTTGACTTTTTCGTAACTGACCAAGAAAAGTTTTATGGTAAAGTTATAATAGAACCTTTTTTCTATACTTATCCACTATATTGTAATATTTTATTTGGATTTCTCAATTCGCAACCAAAAGGACTACGATTTCTTAAATTATTGTATTACCAAATAAAATTGCTTATACTTTATTTGGTAATACAATAATTTTTAAAAACGCTAGTGCCTAGATTTGCCGTATGATGAAGCAGTTCAATGTGCAAATCCAATTCAATTTTGTGTATTGGTTTACTTCCTCAATATAATCCCAACCTCATTACAAATACAATTATAATTAGTTGCGTTCCAACACGCAAACACATAATACGATTGTAAACGGTGAATAGACAGGTGAGAAATTATATTTAAAATAAATCGACAAATTTTATAAAGCGCAAAACTCGAAGAGGGCTGGACTAATTCGAAAAAAGATTATGGAGAAAATTTTTGAAAAAATTTAAAAAAGAATGAATTTATATTTACTACTAAGGAATTTATTAAATACTTCGGATTTTCATTCCGAAAAAGCAGTCTATGCCCTATGGGGTAGCATAGCAAAATGTTCACGGGGGAGCTAGTTTAAAATAAAACAAATTTGGAAGTAATAGAAATTTAATTACATTTAGTATGAATTGAAAACACTGTAGCTATACCTATTTGCGGCTACAAATCAGTTTGATGACGTCATACTCAGAATTGCGCTAATTTTATTATGCACTTTTATACATATTAATAATAAAATACAGATTTATAAATTAATTGATTTCCAATAATTAGACTAGATATTCCTTAAAATTTTATTCCACTAGAAGTAACCCTTTTAAAAGTTGATTTTGGAAACCAAGTTTATAACAAGACTTAATTAATATACTAATCAAACTTTTATAACAACACTATTTCAGTGAGAATCATTGTTAGAATTCTTAATAGTAGCAGTGGCATATTGCTGTTGGCGCATTAATATACCTAAACATTGTAGTAGGCACTGCATACTCGCAGCAGAAGTTGCCTGAAAATTAAAAAATTACAACTTATATAGCAGATATACTAGAAAACAAAACATGCTTATTTGATGTAATGAAGGAGTTGGAAAAATGTGATTATGTAATGTGACAATTTAAACAGAAACAATAAATGTTTTGGGTTAGAGAAAGCAGAAAGAAAGATTTTTATTAAACATTATACAGAAATTACCCTCTTTTCTGTATCCAATATTCTAATAAATAATACAATCCAATTTCAATATAGGTCTTTTAATAGCCCTGATATCACTCTCTCTCTCATAGATCACTGGCTGGGCAGGTATTTCTCGGGCTGTTGTCGATGAGTACTGGAACAAACTTGTGTCTAGTCGAAACTCTTCTACGTGTGTCTCGGACTGGGGTAGACTAAATCTAGTCCAATTTAACCCCAAGAAGACACAAGTATGCGCGTTTTCCGCTAAAAAAACTCCCTTTGTCGCTACTCCCCTCTTTGAAGACACTCTCCTTAAAGCCTCAGCTAGCATCGGAATACTGGGCGTTGACATATCGAATAACGTTCAGTTTCGCGGTCATCTGGAAGGAAAGGCTAAATTAGCCTCCAAAAAGCTTGGTGTGCTCAGCAAGGCGAGACGGTACTTCACTCCGGGCCACCGCTAGCAACTATATAAAGCGCAAATTCGGCCCCAAATGGAGTACTGCTCTCACCTCTGGGCGGGAGCTCCCCAGTACCAGCTCCTTCCAATTGACCGTATTCAAGAGCGGTTCGAATCGTCGACGACCAGTCACTTTCCGTGCGGCTTGATCCCTTGGCGTTGCGTAGAGATGTGGGGTCTCTCTGCATCTTTTACCGCATTTACCATGGAGAGTGTTCAGAGGAGTTGTGCGGTCTAATACCTGCAGCTGAGTTTCATCATCGGACGTCATGGCAAAATACAAAATAACATCCGTATCACCTCGACGTCCGTCGTTCCACAACAGAGCGTTTTCTAAGGCAGTTTTTGCCGTGCACCACCACTATGTGGAACCAGCTGCCCACTGCAGTATTTCCGAACCAATTCGACTTAGGGTCCTTCAAGAAAAGAGCGTACCAATTCTTGAAAGGCCGGCAACGCACTTGCGAGCCTTCTGGGATTGTGAGTGTCCATGGGCGGCGGTATCACTTAACATCAGGTGAGCCTCCTGCCCGTTTGCCTAGTATTACTTTTAAAAAAAAAAAAAGATCATAGTAACAATCTATGGCAAGTTTACTGGTCTTTCCTTTGATTAAAATATCTTCATAATCTAAGCGTATGTCATTTACAAATTAGGACAACATGTTACCTTCAGCAGTAATAAGTCTGGATCAGTGTGTGTAAAGGGTGAATCTGATGATTCTATGCATCTGGCTAATGCGGCATCACTAGTAAACATAATTTTTTATTGATTAAAGTTCGTGATTTGCTGTTAAGCATTCAAAATCTCATTAATAACTGTTAAATATTATTCAATTATACTATTTAAAAAAAGTACTAATTTCTCTCATTCATTGTGTTCAATAGTGTTTAAGCTATGCTAAACACTGTTCAGAAGAATAGTATAGTCAATTAACTTAATTAATTTAGCTAAAAATAGTGTGGGAAATTAGTAAAGAGTAAAAAAATTCATGTTTTGTTTTGTTTTTGATGTATATATATACTCTCAAGAAACAACAAAACAGGTTTATTAAACGTAAGTTATACAACTTATTGGGATATATATACCTAAGCTCAGTAGTCTGAAGCTGCTGCCTAGCTGAAGCCATAGCATCATGAACAGCTAGTTGCTCTCTTGGCTGCAATGGTGGATTAGCTCCCATTGCCTAGAATACATATTACTTATTTACAAGAATTATTCACATTGATGCTTTTAATTTTATAACACAACATTTGGTATATTAACATTCAATTGAAAGGATATAGAACGTACCACTAAAAACATTTAATGCTATTGAACATATAAACAAAGCGGAGGGTTTCATTAAAGCGGGAGAATTCAATATAAATGTCATTAACACCTTTGTATGTACTTCTGCAATTGCTCTCAAACCATTAACCCATTCTTGTCGAGCCCTTGCATCTGTTGCCCTTAGTTTTAGCATGTCTCCTGAAGCACAGTTTATGGTAAAGGTTTTTGAGTCTTCATCGCTTGGACAAATCACAGCCCCAGCTAAATGTGCCTAAAAAAAGTGATTTTGGTTCATCACAATTATTCTTTATTTTACACTTATAGCATTGTTTACTTTAAATCATTGCAATAACTTACCTCTCCTCTAGCTGGTTGCCCTGGCTGTACTGTATCACCCGGACCATCAAACAAATAATACGTAAGAATTCCAGTTTCTGGATCCACAGCAAACCATCTTTGTTGCCAACCCTTCACAACATTGGTGTATTTATACAACTGCCCCGATAAGGGTCTGTTAGAACTAAGACACGAAGCTTTGATCATTGTTATGATTTGTTTAAAAACATAACTAAGTTATTTAACAATTATTTCTATTAATTGTTCTTAAAACGTTTGCTAAATTAATTTGCTTCTATTCTTTGTTACCATTTGTTTAGAAAGAAATCTTATTACGAATGCAAAAAGTAAATGAGAAAAAAAATTTAACATCGTCAGTGGTCTTCCAAAATACAAAGTTCCTCCACAAAAATATTAAATAATTAAAAACACCACAGATTAGTAAATACAAGTGTCCAAACTCCAAACTTTGTAGTCTGGAAATTTATGCCATATTAATTTGTATAATTATTAGTAGAAGATCCCGCTATACAACGACCTTCACCGAGATGCTTATTTAATGAAACATATTTTATATTAAATTTAATATGTCAATAAATATAATCCATTGGGTGTCAGCAAATTTCAGTCCAGAGTATGTTTAATTAATAATTAAAAAATATTTTTTTAAACATTTCACCGGTATGATTATTAGATAAATTCTATACCAATCGAAAGTATGAAGCCCATAGAATATGCAACTTTTGCTGCCCATTCTTTTCCGGTCACAACTATCGGGTTGCCTGGTATAAACAGGTAATTCTGTACTAGCATTTTGCAACGGTCTGTTTATTGAATGAAATTAAAGATTATTTTATTCTGAACACGGTGGTATAGGGTTGTCTGCGAAAAATCAGTCCAGAATTGCGGTTGTCGAATTTTAAAAAGTAAAATATTGCTAAAATTATTATGATTTAAAATTATCTTAGCTAATAGATCTTCTATATTTCTATATTAAAATATAATATGTATATATTAAAATATATATTTTATATTTTATTTTCGTAAATTCCATGTGGCTTATTGCAACGGATCCAATATGCGTGAAATTTGAGCCTGAGAACTGCGGACGGTTCTTAGATGAATATTTAAAACCAGTAGGATTCATTGGGGATCATACACCTTTAAAGATAGAAGACATTGTCGAAAAAAGTGAAACAGAAAGTGTGACGAAAATTCAGAAGTTGAAGAACGTAGTTTTATGTCCTATGACCCGGATTCTGAATAATTAAAAAAAAAATTGTATTTTTAATTTTTTACAATAAATAGAAGTAATTTTTTAATTGTTGTTTTTGAAGTTATACTTCTTTAGGCGCGTTATGAAAAATTGATGAGAGTGAAATTTTACGATGCGCGTGCACCGTGACACTAAATTATCAGTATGGGCGCCGAGCGTGCGTGAGCGAGATGGAAATAAGACAATCTACAAGTAGAAAGAAATAGAATATGCGTGAAGTTAGCAGCTATGCTAAGAATTTTGAATGACCATAATGACATTTACCTTTTAAACAAATAAAGGAGTTTTAATTTCAAAGAAATTTAGGAATGCTTTTTCACAAAGACCTATTACTTAGTTAAAAGGTTATGAAACATACGTAGTTATTAAATTGAATGAATAATATAATAAAATAATAAATAATTATTAATTAATAATTGAATAATATACTAAATATTAAATATTATTAACGTTAAATATTTGTTATTAATCATTTAATACTTTAAAAAAATAAAGAAAGCCAAAGAAGTTTAACTTCTTACGCGCGTACATAAGTACACGCATTTTTATTTTGTCTTCTTATAATAAAAATAAAATTAGCAAGATTAGGTACCCTGATTAAAAAATTCACTTTTTGGGTTTTGAATTTTTTCCAATAGTTTCAATTGATTTCAATTTCTCTGTTTACATATTTTATAGATTTATAATTTGCATGTAGTCATTTTTTTTAATTTTTTTCAATAAAATTTTTTTAATCGGGGTATTATTATATATGAATCACTACAACCTTCTTTTTTACTAAAGATGTATATATACTTTAGTGTCACATAAAAAATATACACATAATTAATTAATTGATTAAAAAAAATTAAATAACTATTTCTCTATTTAAATAATAAACTACTCCAAAATAATGCATAATTATACGAGTCCATCGCTATCCTTTTCTTTTCCAAGCCCAAATAGCATGCGCACTCTCATTCTTTAAGTGGGCGGACTTTAAACAGCTGCTATGCTGTGTCCTCTTCTATCGCATGGGATAGTCGGTTGGGACCTCTCAGTCACACACATTCACTTGGAGCAATATTTTACTTTTTAAAATTCGACAACCGCAATTCTGGACTGATTTTTCGCAGACAACCCTATACCACCGTGTTCAGAATAAAATAATCTTTAATTTCATTTTAATTTCATTCAATAAACAGACCGTTGCAAAATGCTAGTACAGAATTACCTGTTTATACCAGGCAACCCGATAGTTGTGACCGGAAGATGGGCACATAAAGTTTGCATATTCTATGGGCTTCATACTTTCGAATGGTATAGAATTTATGGAAAGTTCGTACTTACGATTTTAAAAATATTTATTATTATAATTAAACATACCCCGGCCTGAAATTTGCTAAACAACCCATATGGAATATATTTATTGATATATTAAATTAAATATAAAATACGTTTCATTAAATAAGCATCTCGGTGAAGGTCGTTGTATAGCGGGATCTTAGACCATATGGAAAGTTCGTTCTTTCGATTTTCGAAACATTTCGAAGTCTGTTATCTGTACCTGTAGTTACCATAGAGTACATTATATTTAGGATTTACATTTTACTATTTATCATCTGAATTCTGAGGACTGAGTCTGATTTCTGTAATATAAATACATAGAGAAATAATATATACTGGGAAATAATATACTGGGTATAAATGTTTTGTAAGTTAATTGTTAAATTCAAACAATCTTTAACTAATGTATATTAAATATACATCATAAAAAGTAACTAAGATGCCCGTCAAACTTGTTCGTACCGATGTTGATACCCTAAAAAAGATTACACTAACTCCTGGAAGCCATATTATAGGAAGAGGAGAACTTTTAGAAGTGGTATGATTGTGTCAATGTGTTTTTTTGCTTAAAGTAAAATGGATTATTTGCTCAAATTAATGTGTTTCAGTTTGATAAGCGGGTGTCCAGAAAGCATGCAAAGATTGAAGTGAAAAATGATTCTATTGTTGTTAACGCTGTAAGTATTTGTATATAGTTACAGTAACACTTTGTTCAGTCATTATTTTAAATTTTCATCACGTATAAAATATTTTTCAGCTCCACCACAATCCTGTATTCTATACCAAAAGAGGTTCCAGTAAATCGGAAGCATTAGCTTTAAATTCTATGGTAGTGTTATCTAATGGTGACAAAATTGGGTTGTTACCCAGAACATACTGGTTTGAAATAATTGTTGTGGATGAAAAAAATTCTTCAGAACAAACAAATAATATTGAAGAAAATAAAAATGAAGATGTAACAAAAACATCGGAAGAAACATTGAGTCATCAAACATTTATATCATCTCATGATGACAACATTCAGCAAGCTGAAATATGTAAGTGTATTTAATAACAACATATAAGATGTTAGATACCCATTTGTTGTAAAACAAAAATCTTGCTTTAGACTCTTTCTCATAAAACACCCAAATTTATCATAATCTGACCAAATTTAAGGATATGTAGGAGTAAAACATACAAAAACAAATTGAAGTATGTAGGATGACATAGGGCGCGTTCAAGTATTACGTTACGCGTTTTTGGGGGGGTCCTTATGTAAAACGTTACGATGCGGGGTGGGGATTGAATTACGCGTTATTGTTAATATTATTTTCGACTTACACCACATAATAGTAACTTAAGAGTAGACACAAGGTGGTAACCAAACATTTTACTATACTTGAGTACAGTACTGTACTAGGGTACTGAAAAAGGTTCACGGCGAGATAAATGTGGGGGGGGTCAATAATCTCCAAAAATTGCGTTACATAATACTTGAACACTCCCATATCTAATATCTAACACTAAACTATAACTATATATATCTTTTCAGTCCAAGAACCAAATACTGAGCAATTAGACAACACACAAGAACATAACTTGACCGCATCACCAACAAAACGAAGACGAAGTGCCTCAGAGGATACTTTAAATTTTGATTCAGGTATGCTTTAATTTCAGACATGATATATTTCCGGCTCTATGTGAAACATACACCAAATTTTTAAAGATTGTTTTCACATTTAATAATCAAAATTACATTAGCAAGAAAAAAACATGGAAATGGTTTTAATTGTTAGTCCTAGATACTAAAAAAAATTAAAAGATTATTTATTTATACAATAATGTTGCCTAGAAATGAAAACTGGGTTTTAACCAACTAATGAAAAGGTTATCAACTCAACATGTATTTTTTTTAAATACAAGTTGTATAGTTCTGTTTATAATCCTAGTTTTTAGTACTTTTAAGGACTATAATTATTCCATCAAGCATTATTTATAATATGTGAAATAGGGCACATTTTTGATAAAAACTTTCATTTTATTAAGGATTTCTATTTTCCGTGTTATCTTTTAAATTTATTTAGTAATTTTCAGTCATTATCTAGTAAGAAATTATTTTCCTTCATTGTAAGCTTGTATGCTAGTACTAGTAGTATGATGCAGTGTAGGAGCCAATAAACTAATCATTACTAGCTAAGCTTTGTGATGACATCTTTATTGCAGAAAGTCAAAACAGTGAGTCTGATCCTATAAAGAAGATCAAATTGGAGCCACCTGACAGCAGTTATGGAAATGCTCAGCAGGGGATAAGTGATGCTAACATGGTAGTGATTTCTTACTATTATTACAAAAACTATTCCAATATTTTTTCACTCCACAATTTATTTAATATTTAGTTAACAGTCTAGCAGCAAATTTCGAGATTGTAACATCAGTGCACACTCAATAGAAGCACAGCTGGTTGCACAGCTAATTGGTTTTCATTTTTATTTTTTTATGGACAGATAGGAAACAGGCAAGGGGGTGACTGTGACTCCTGTATGTAAAATGTTTTTCCTAGTTAAAAAAAACTCAGCACTGTATAAACTAATCTTTTATTGAGTCAATTGGTAACTGCAATTAAAGTTACATGTTAAGTTAACTGTTCTTTCAAATCAACATTATATGTGATGTTATTGGTTAGGCTTCCAGTTCAAGTGTTCATCAAGGCAATCCCTCAAGTGTTAGAGAAAGGTGTTACTATGGGGCAAGATGTTACAGGTATGTTGTACTAAATATACAGTACTGTTAAAGCGTGAATGCTTTTAAATTAGGTGTTATAATGTTATGGAGTGGATACAAACAAATTTTTGTCACAACTAAGTTTTTATTCATTTTTGCTTTATTTATTTAAGGTCTCAGTAATATTTTTTTTACATAAGAAAATCTATTGCGGTTGATGATATTCATTTATAAGCTCACATTAATGGAGGGAAATATTTTTTACGAATATTAGACTAAATTGTTTAAATTTGCTCATAATAAAGTTTTATAATTTTAGACGCAATCCAGTTCACTTGGTACAATACAGTCATCCAAGAGATTCTGATTGGGGAACAAGTGATAGGGGTGTATGCCCTAATGGAGCGTACTGCACAAAGAATGATCCAAGGCATTGGGATACCCATACCCATCCGCCAGGGACCACACGGCTACCGCAGCTACATGGTTCGTAAATTTCGAGTGTCGTCGACGCGAAAATGCAATACAAAAACATGCCAAAGTAACTGTATTTTGTCACTACATCATAACTATTTGCTTTGCCTTTTCAGCTTTTCAAATTACACGCTATGGCACAGTAATAAATGTTAACCCACAATTCAATATTAGAGATGTTGACACCTCCGAAGATTCAAATGATGGGTGTTGCAAATACAATAATGATTCTTAAATGTGTGCCGTGTAATGGAGCCTTGGATTAAAAAGATGTGTACTTGGAGATTTAAGATATTCTTTCTATAAAACATCATTTAATCTTCGACAGGTAAAACTAAGACCAAAAAGAAAAAAAAACAGGTAGAAGATACAACCGATGAATCTGATCAAGATTTGACTGGATTAAATATAAGAGCTCGTCGGAGAAACAGAGGAAGTAGTGTATCTGATCCATATGGATCAGATTTTGATCTTGATTGTTCAGGCTCAGAGCCAGACCCCTATGGGTCAGATGAATCAGATGAATGGCATCCACTAGATGGTAAATAAAAGTGATAATAATGTTTTTTCTTAAAAGTATTTAGAATTAAAAACTGGATTTCTTGAGCCTGTCATCATTTTTATTGTCTCAAATGTATCATTGCTAGACATTACTCTTTAAGATTGTAACTAATATAATATCAACAAAATGCTATAACTAAATCGTGACATCTACTTATTCTTGATATAATGTTCTGTTAAGTGATCACTAAAGATTTAAGTTTTATACTAAGTTCTTGAAAACAATAAATTGTTATACCAATTTATTTTCTTTTTACTACAAAAACGAAAAAATTATCTTTAAAAACTAATGACATTGAAATGTCAGAAAGGCAATACTTTAAAAAAAACCAAGGGCTGCAGTGTATTAATGCCATATTTATTTCAACTTAAACATACTAATTAAAAAAATCCTTCATCATCAGAATGGTTATTACGCTCCCAATCTGGTTGAGCTGCAAGTAGTAATGTGGGCGGTGCTTCACCACCTCTCACCTTGAGTGCATACACAGCTGATTCTACTTTGAACACATTATTTCGTGTGGTTGACATTTTACGAGATAACTCTCTATCTATACTAAATAATCCTGAAAAAAAAGTTATTTGTTAATTTACCAATCTGGGAAAAATGACATGAGTTGCATATCCAATTTGAAAATAAAGTACTTAACAATTATTACACACCTAAATATCCAGTGTAAAGATCTTTTACTGCCTGACATGACTCAAAACAATCATTACTATCACCACTTGAAATACTGTTAATAGCTTTTCTCATCAATTCTCCCGTCAAATCTGCTAATCCTAACATATAATCAGATTGCGTCAACATGGTAGTAACTGACTTTTCTTCCATAACATACTCCAACTCCTTCTGCACCTCAGACCATGAGATAAGCAACTTCTTCTCCAAGAAGGAGCAAAAGGTTCTTGCTTCTATAAATTCCTGGAAACCAGCAGTTACAGCACGGGAGTGTAAGTAAGCAGGGCTATTTTCTAGTTCCAATCCAATACTTTTAATAGGACCCTGAATTAGTTTCTGCAGTCGTTCATTTGCTTCATTTATTTTTATTTCAGCTGATTCAATCCTAATAAAAATGGGAAAATGTTTCAAATATTAGCTAAAATATAATTATTGGCCATTACCACCACAATATCACATAAAAACGGTTATATCCTTACAAAGAGAAGACAGCAGGTTAATTGTAAAGATTTATTTTTATTAAGAAAATTATTGTAACATTGCCTACAATAAAAACATTCTTACGTGATAGCTGAATGTAAAAGAAATATAATTCTTTTACTTTCGATTGTAATATCTCTAGACAGCTTGACCAATCGCTCATGTCGATCTTGACGATCATTTAGCTTCTGAGCAGCAACTTTGAACATTTGCAGCACAGGACTATCATCCGGTAAAGAAATAGCAGCTTCTCTTGCTACAGAAGACAAAGACTTGTGACCATGATTTCTATCGTTTTTATGGCCACGGAATCTTCCTGCGAAATATGAGCACGATTTTTTTACTGAGTTCAATAATGTCTAATTTATAATAAATTAATACACTTACCACGTCCAGACATAGTGAATTGTATTCGTATAAATATTACTTAAAATATAAAATAGATACTTTTTTCGATTGGATATAAAAGAGAGACAGGATCGACAGGATTCAGGAAGCACTACTGGAAAGCCGATGAATAATCAATAAAGACTACAATTAACAATAGTACAATATTATACTGGCCAGTGGCCGACGAAAAATATTTACTGGAGAGTTCAGACTTCAGAGTGGTCAGTGGAGAGACTTCACTGTCAAATGCCAATTGCCATTACTAAATAGTTTATAAATTTATAATCTAGGTTGCAAGGTATTTTTTTGAGTGTCAAGCTACAGATGTTTAGTTTTATTGTTTGACAGAATAAAGTACTAGACTTTGTAAAAGAGATAACCACTCTCACGTACGGGCCGCGCGACTGTTTTCACGTCAACCGTACAGCTACTCGCGCGTCTTTGACCCGCGCGCATCGCGCCCGCTACATCGCAACAAAAACCATTATATCTGTTGAAATATAATAACTACAACTATGAAAAAAATACTACAGCATAGGTTGAAGTATATAGATTAAAACACATTTTGTAATAATTGGATAATGTTAATAAATTAGTACTTAAAACGGGATAAAACATTTGAGTCTGAGCAAAAATGCTTAAATTTTTTATAGATTTAGGCCTTACGCAAAAAATATAAACGATTTCGAATTAAGAATAATTTTACAAAAAACTAGACTAATTATCCTTTCAAAAGATGCCAAGATGTTTATATTTAATCAACATTGTGTAAGCTAATAAATCAAATCAAAACAACCACTTCTCGTAATTTTACCATAGCCTCTTGAGTCGCGCGCTATGTCTTTTTTGTGCCAAGATGGCCGCCTGTCTAAGGTCTCCCTCACACCATGTAGTTTTTTAACTAACTAAAAAATAGGGTATGTTCGATTTGTTTCAATCGTTTCTTTTTAAATGAAAAACAGAATAACAGTGTTGTAAATTTTAATGAGACATTTTTGATAAGATTTCGAGTTGTAAATGATAATCCACCGTTTCTCCACTGCTTCCACGTCCCCCGCGGTCTCCACGACTGCCACGGCCATCATCATCATATCATAATCAGGAGACATAAATAAACACATTACACCATGCGTAACAAAAAATTGCAAACATATTTTTTCGTTTCTACAAACCCTTATTTATGACGTTTGTTCTAACGTCCGTGGATACCGCACTGTCCATAACGATAAACCTGTGGAACACCTCAATATTATTTGGGAATCTTAAATCATCTTAATGTATTTCTATTCGGAAAAGGCATGAATATGCTTATGAAGGACTCTACATTCATTTTTAACTATTAATTCACTAAACAGACGTAAACAAATCATCAAAATCAGCCAACAACTTCTAAGAAGCCATTTTGCTCTTGACAAAAATATTTTAAAGTTGAAATTAAACTCAATTTAGCATTAGAAACTATATAATCTTATCATAACCGTAAAGTACAAATATTCAAGTTTATTTTGATGTATGATAATTAAAGAAATATAATATAAAACTAAAGTACTTACGACATAATTGCTGAAACTCCGAAACACTTGTTCCCAAAATTCACAAGAACGAGTCAATTGAGTTTGGATTTTTTTTTTACAGAGAACTAATTATATTTCATTGCCATCTGTAGTTTATTGGGTGAACTGTTTCCTAAGCTATCATTCTACGTCGATAAAAACGTTTATTTCTAATCTCGGTTTCAACTAGATGTCATTTTCTTAAACTTGTCGTTTTGGATACTGTAGTATCCATGTACGGATGCCGCCATTATTTTTTTGGATACTGTAGTATCCACGTACGTGAGAGTGGATAATGTCAAGTCATCAAACCGTAAGCCTATATTTTTTTTTACAGTTGATTATCAGTGTGGTCAACGTAGGCGATTTATCGCCATTTAGGCTACTTTGTTCACTTTGTCCTTCAACTTTAACATAACCAGTGCGTGTAACAAGTAATTTCAAAGCCATCATTTCTGTGAAAAGAGCTTGGGGAAACATGGCAAATATGTGAAGCATTATCGCGAAGAATGGGAAAAAATACCAGCTTTAAAAGTAAGTTTAAGAACGAATGTTTTTTACTGTTTAAGAGGGCCCTGTCCTCCAGTCAGGCAAGCAGGAAATCTCTAGGAACTCTTTCGGTGGCTGTGGCGGTTGCGATTTGATTCCCGCCTCGGAATAAAAGATGTTTTTACGATCTACAGATTCTAGGTGTTCTGGATGAAGTAAAAATAAAGTTAAAATTAAATATACGCTACAATTTAATTTTTATATTTCGGCTCCTTTTTACACTATCCTGAAATTCGGCTACATTAGGCTACTTCTATTATTCTTGCTACTTATACTGTGGAAAATGGCGATATCAGTCCCGGTGTCGTTGGCAACACTGTTCACTGTTGATTATATTGCAGTGGCTGATATCTCCACGACTCCACCCCTTTTTCGCTTGGTTTGTATATCATAAAATATATTGCTTTCCTTGCTTTTTTAACAGTTATTTACTAATTTTAAAATAATTTATTATTAGGTAGCAATTCGTGTTGACTGACCAGAGTCCGCGAAAAACAAACATTCCAAAATATTGAGACTCCTACAATCCAGTTTCGGAAGTAATTGAAGGTGAAATTTATTTTTATACATTAGTTATTCAGTTCAGTTTGTTAATATCACCCATCACCTAAGTGAGCATTCATTTGGTGGTTTTCAGATTTAAGAATGGCTCAAACTCTGACGTTCGGTGACTCATGCGCTCCATTAACGTGTCACGCATGGAATAAGGAGAGAAATCGTTAGTAATTTCAATATTTATGCTTAATTCGCGTTAATTACCTGTACCACTACAACTATAGACATTTTTGTTTTAGAAATTGCATTCTCCCCCAACAACAATGAAGTTCATATATATCAAAAGGAAGGTAATGATTGGAAACAAACAGATAATCTAGTTGAGCATGACATGAGAGTTATGGGTATTGATTGGGCTCCAAACACTAACAGGATTGTGACTTGTTCAGTGGACCGTAATGCATATGTTTGGACTCAAAATGAAGAAGGAAAGTGGACTACAACATTAGTTCTTCTCCGTATTAACAGAGCTGCAACTTGTGTAAAATGGTCACCAATGGAGAATAAATTTGCTGTCGGTTCAGGGGCTCGCCTCATCTCTATTTGTTATTTTGAAAAGGAAAACAATTGGTGGGTCTCTAAACATATCAAAAAGCCAATTCGCTCAACTATCACAACTCTTGATTGGCACCCTAATAATATTCTTTTAGTTGCGGGATCTACTGATTTTAAGGTGAGGGTCTTCTCAGCATACATCAAGGATATAGAAGATCAACCCGGGCCTAATGTATGGGGTTCAAAACTCCCCCTTGGCCAACTTTTGGCAGAATTTCCTTCCGCTGGCAGTGGTTGGGTGCACAGTGTTTCCTTTTCTGGAGATGGCAATAAAGTAGCTTGGGTGGGCCACGATAGTTCCATCAATGTTGCTGATGCTGCTCAAGGTAAAGCAGTTATCAAACTTAAGACTGAGTATTTGCCATTTTTGGGTTGCATTTGGGTTTCCAATAACTTTTTAGTTGTTGCTGGACACAGCTGTATTCCTCTCTTATATTGCCATGACGGTGATCAAATTAAGTTTGTAGCCAAGTTGGACAATACTCAACGTAAAGAGTCTGGAGGGCTCTCAGCTATGAAGAAGTTTCAATCGCTGGACCGTCAGGCACGAATTGAAACCAACGATACATTCCTAGACTCTATCCACCAAAATGCAATTACCTGCATTAACCTGCACAAAGGGTCTAAAGCCAATGCTAAGAAGTTCAGTACCTCTGGCCTGGACGGTCAGCTAGTCATTTGGGATATGGAGTCGTTGGAGAGATCTATTGAAGGACTTAAAATTGCTTAAGAAATAATTGATGCATTTAAGTATTATTTTATTTAAATAATTATAATGAATAATATAATCAGTTGCATGTGAGCTCTGAAGTCACTCAGAAAAATGAATCATGGAAAGCTGTGAACAATTATCACAATCACAGTTTTATCAGTCTAGCCAAAACAAGAGTAAGCAATGAAAAGAGTGAATTCAGCTCTCAGACTGTAAAAACATTCAAATATACAGAAATAAACTATAATTTATAGATACAACAGCTATCTTTTTATTACTATACAATTTAAGTTTTAACTTTGATAATTTATATAAATTAGATTAATTCTACTCCACACTATTAATCGCTTTTAATACTACTGAAGTACTGATTGCTGTCATTGATTGAAATAAAAAAATATGAAATAACCAATCTCTTATTGACTCTCACCAAATACAGTTGGGCGAGTGTAGTTTTTAAAATGATTGCACCACTTAATAACGAAGTCACGTTAACCTATGAAACTATAAGGCCATTTGTTATTAAATATGTAAAGCAATTTATTGCGTGTTGGAAACTATATTAAAGACTGGACCGATTCGTATAAAGACCCGTCGAAGAACTGACCGAAGCTCCGGCTTCAGGTCGAAGCAGGTGATCTCGCACAGCAGGGGGTAGTAATTTGACACGTGCGCCGCAAACTGAAAATCATTATGTATTCATTAGTTTTCGCAGCAGTATTCAAGGACTTAAGGGTAGTCACGTTCACCTAATAGATAAACAGAAGTATTGCGGGAAATTATTGTCAAGTAAAACAAAGTGTATTTATGATTACATAATAGGTAACTAAAATTACAAGCGTTATCTTTGTGTAAAAGCTCATTGTTAACCAGCCTTACATGTTAAAGCAACACGCGAAGGCTGAACTTGTGTCACGAAATTAATAATAAGGGTAATGTTAAGTTAACCATGAAACTTAAAAGTAAATATAGTTCTTTATTTATTTTATATCTACACAAAAATAATGTGTGTGACTCCCAGATGAGTGCACTTAACTAGGCTGAGCTTAACGGGTAATTAATCTTATTTAAACCTTAATCAGAGTTGTCTATTAAATAGATCAATAAATGCAACTTAGATAAATCTGATGAACGGTTAAACTGAGCTACGAGATTTACTGCCCGACTGATTTTATTAGGGATCAGACTGAAAGACAAAAAATTGCATCCAATCCGGTAGAATTTGTTTAGATTTTTACCGATTGAAGTTAACCGTCAAATCTTAATTAATGACATTGATTATTATTATGTATAAATAGTAGAAATACAGCTATTATTTTTAATAAGTGAAATGAAAATTTGAAAAAGTAGTGGGAAGAGGAAAATTATTGAATTTATATACATATTTAAACAATTTAACTACTTTTGATGTTACTAAATTTTCCATATTAATATTACTTGAGAAATCGTAACATACTTAACTAGACAAAAAGTCTTTTCTTAAGACCTTTTTTTCCAATGTAAATGTATATAATATTCTTTTCATATAACTAACTTTATCATATAACTTCAGTGTAATGCTTCATATTTCAGTGCTAATAGACTTGAATCTTGGGTCTTTATAAAACAGTAGGTAGGACACCTGCTTCTTACGACTATGAAAAAATAACCTCTTCGTTAATTCTCGGCAATAAATTGGGCGTTTTACGAAAAGTACAGAACACAAAAATACAAATCTGACCAAGTTTCGTGCCGGCAATCAATATTTATTCACGATAACAAACATCTAATCTAATCATTAATAGATATTTGTTTAATTAAAGATGTGCCAAAATGAGATGGTTGAGTGTTAAGTTCTGTCATTTATGTATGTCAATTAGACCAAGAGTTTTTTTTTTTTTTTTTTTTTTTTTTTTTTCGCGCGAATATACTAGTTGAGTCATACTCTGCTATTCTGTTCTCTGTTCCATATGTGAAATAATAAAGGGCTAGGTATATCTTCATATGTTATATTATGTCTGTAGGTCAATGCAGAAAACATGACTTGAATAAGTAATACCTAATATATCCGGTCAATTTAGACATCCAAGGTTACAATAATTCGCACTTGGCTGAATATTGGTAGGATTGCTCAATACACTATTATAAAGGAAATGTGAAAAGTCCTCATCGATCCGGCACGTGCAAAAAAATTTACTCCAGTTCAAAGATCACAAAAATGGGTTTTTCGCGATTTTCAGCAAAATGGTAAGTTTTATCATAAAATTAGTGTGGACAAAAATTGTAGATCAGATAATTATCTATAAAAAAATGTCCAAGTACTTTTTTCCTACAGCCACCGTTTTTGAGATATAACGATTCAAAAAGTTGAAAGAGTTGTAATCGTCATGGGGGTTTGGGTTGTTTTTGCCCTTTTTTTTTTTTGGTTCCCCCGGTAGGCCTATTCCACTGATCTTTTATGATTCTGTTTAATTTGAAACTATTGAATAACTGTAGATATTGACAAGGGTTGAAAATGATGAAAGGGGTGTAAATTACAAAAAAATAAGAAAATTTATCCGTCTGAATCTAAATCATCATTAACTTCTGCTTTATCTTGTTCTTGTTCTTCTTCTCTTCCTTCTCCTTCTTTATCTTCTTCATTCTGGGTGTTAATAAATTGTCCCAATAATGACACACAAAAACACACAAAAAACACGTGTTTTCACTCCAGAGCGATGTTGCTGAAGGTTACACTGGCGTAGAAAATAAAGGACTGGGTTTTTTTTACCCGAAATTTTCATATTTTATATGTGTAAGTCACACTGACCGATAGAACGATATTTTTGCTTGTATTACGGCTTCAGTGATGTATAAACGTGGTGTACATATTATGACGATTACAACTCTTTCAACTTTATGAATCGTGATATCTCAAAAACGGTGGCTCTTAGGAAAAAAGTACTTGGACATTTTTTATAGATAATTATCTGATCTACAATTTTTGTCTACACTAATTTTATGATAAAACTTACCATTTTGCTGAAAATCGCGAAAAACCCATTTTTGTGATCTTTGACCCGGAGTAATTTTTTTTGCACGTGCCGGATCGATGAGGACTTTTCACATTTCCTTTATAATAGTGTATTGAGCAATCCTACCAATATTCAGCCAAGTGCGAATTACTGTAACCTTACCCCTATTTTTTAGTCTAATTTGACCGGATTATAATATATCCGTCGCAATAATGAGCCTTGTTTAAAATTATTAAAACATTTTCCTGTTTCCATTTTTAGAATTTCCTCTGAGAATGTTTTATTTATGGGAGCCCAAATATATTCGATTATAAACCGCCTGATAAATGGTCATTGTAATTACTTTAAATTTTTTATATAAGTAGGTACAAGGATTTTTAAGAATAACAGTACTAAACCATTTAGTTGTTAATAACGATGACACAACTTACGATGTATTAGGGGATTTCCTCTCTAGTGGCGTGACTTGTGAATTAAAGAAGCAACAATATTATTTTACATATTAAGTAAGAAAAAAACTTACTCTTTCATCGGGCATCTTTAATATCCGGGTGAGAATGAGAAGCAGGATGGAGGTCCAGGCATCCCGATGGGCTTCGTTATTAAGTCCTGCAAAGTACTCCAAGGCTTCACAACATATAGTTATAAGGCTGTTCTGTACCGCAGGCCAATGAGTTCGCCGGGTCTCGTCGCTATACATTTTTAATAGTATCCGCAATACGCACGCTAGCGACTGCGTCTCCTGTTTCAACATATTGGGTTTCACTGAACCCTTGAAGTTTGCTTTCCACAATACATTTCTTTGCACATTATTAGTATTGAATGTCTTGGCGAACCGATGACTGCACATAAGACATTCTACCAGACGTAGTAAGTGTGGCGAGCTTAGCAGCCTATACATGCCTTGTTCTTCTCTCTGACATTCTTGCTCGGTCCCCGGATGTCCACCCGTCAATTCGGCCGCTGCTAAGGCTAAAGTCTCTGCGTCTTCTTTTCTTGAGGTCGCAGGATAAAACACGATATTGTCAATAGTTTGAATGAGTTCCAACTGTACGACACACTTTATGAGAAGGCTGTTAAACACGCGATTCGATGATTTGATTTCGTCACCCCCTTGTGGTTTTTTAAGAATACCATGTCGCACGTGCTGGATCTCTCCATCTTCGTTTTCTTCAGGTTTCCAAGTCAGTAATGATGTAGGAAGGGTACTATTAAATATATCCAACATAATTTGACACGTTTTGCTCCATGTGTCCTCGGTGAACTTCGTTCCGTTCGATATGACTAGATTTTCTAAACAATTCGTACCCGATCTAGCAAGTTGTTCATTGTCTTGTTGAACGCACCAATGCAGTTGTGCGTACAGCTGCTCTAACAATAAGGAGCCTAGAATGTCGAAATATTGTGTAAACACGTCCACTATGGCGTACAACGCGTGGTTACACGTTGTAGTCATCCATTCGTTCTTTTCTAATTGATGTTCAGGCAACTTCATATTGTCAAAAATTCTGAATAATATATTAAAAAGATCTCTCCACCAATGGGGACGGAATGCATCACCATGCGTTTTTATAATTTCAAAGAGGACAGTTAGTCCTCTCGTTCGTACATCAAGCTTACAGCGACTCACAACACACGAGAGTGAGAACAGTAGAGGGAACCATCCTCTCAACCAGACTCTATCTTCTTCTGGGGCCCCAGGTTCTCCCTCCAGGCCCGCGTGCTCTGCGAACAAATGTGGAGACGCACCAACGGCACTCGCACAAGATCTAACCAGTCTTATAGCTTCCATCGATGTATCTGGAAACTTAGCATTACAGGCAAACTCTGATAGACATTTAACAGCGTCTTGGAATGAGTCAATCATGGCTGGAAATTGTTTTTCGTATAAGTCAGTAATAATTTTTCCTGTCGTTTGGAATGCTAGATCAACGATTGATTCGTCTTGGTCACTGGCTGCTAAGTGAAATACTGAAAATATATTTTTCCATCCAGATTTTATGTTCGGTGCTTGTGAATTAACCATCTGTGCGATACAGCGGACCACCATATCTCTGATTGTCGGTGAACAATTTTTTTTCATTATGTGTTCGAAAGGACGCAGGAAGTCCTTTTGGAATTTGAAGTTAGCAAATTCACCTTTCTCTATAAACTTCATGGACAATTGTCTCAAGGAGTCAACCGCGAAGAAAGCTATATCTTCGTTACTACTGCATCCCACTTTATTAAAATGATCGCCAAGCACTTGCCAAATGCGAGACCATTGGAGCCTGATACGCCCCATGTTGTAGTATGAAATCTCAACAATTTTTTGCAGAGAAAATATACGAGGATTAGACGGATGGCTTAACTCATCAAGAGATACTTGGCAAAGGGCTTTTACAAAATCAACAATAGCGTCTCCATCCAGTCTGGTTGATCCTGTAAATATTCTGTCGACAGCGACTACAACGCTCTGAGAACTTGTTTCCCCAATATGTTCTTTTACACTGGGATCTAAGGCCATCAGACTAAATTTTAATGCATCCGGTTGAGGTTTTATTCCAGATCCTGAGAGAAACTGGGGCCGCACCCCAGTACCGATAAGCTGTGCGAGCTCTAATTGTGAAATGCATTTGACCACGTCCAACCAACTAGATCCAAGGTAGTTACCATCAGTGTGCGCCACTGTTATCAAAGTTTTTATTGTATCAATATTCTTAGCTTTCATTTCTGTAATGGGGGAATTGGCCGTTAGTAGTGTAAAACGCGCTAACGCTTGTACATATGCATCCCTCTCCAGTGACATGTGGAATATACAAGCAATTCTTACTGCACATCTGATGCCATCTAAACATAATGAGGCTATTTCAGGGTCATCACAATCCTGTAATCCCACTGAGAATGCGGCTAAAAATGGGGTCCATGCCATTTTGAACATAGGTCGCACATGCTCAACATGCTTGGCTGTAGTGAAAGGTGTCTGAACATGTGACACGGATTCCATTAAGTTTTTAGCAGCAGTGGATATTTGTTCCATCTCCATGTTCCAAGTAAATTTACGCTTCTTTTCATTGGTAAACATATGCTTCCCAGGTTTTGAGGTGTTCTTCATTTTAATTTCATGGCCAGCTATTTCATCATATATTTGAGATAGATATTCACGAGGTAAATCATTGTTATCACTTATACCACTATTTAGCTTGATGTATTGTTCTTTAGTCATTTTAGTCTTTACTTGTGGCGAATGCAAATCAGTTGTTAGCATTATAATGGAAAATGCTAATACATAAACTGTGTCCGCACTTGTAAAAAGTGTGTTGGTTGGGTTACATTCACAATACCGTGCAGCAAATTTTTCCATTAATCTATCAATTTTTTGGGCTTCTCCAGGCAACCTAAAGCCTTCCAGAAAATGTCGTAAAGCAGCTACAATGTCCATGTTAGCAAAGTTCATTGAGTCAACATAAGCATACATTACTTCTTTAGAATGATCATCATTTTCCCCTAAGTATTCTCCAATAAATGTCTTATCAAGTCTTTCATCAGTCAGTAACCACTCTGCTATTTCTTTTATGGATGTCCCCAGTAAACTTTGTTCCTGCAAAAAAGCTACACCTTTTTTTGGTTTTCGGTTGAATAAATCAATTCCAGTCTCCCACACCTCTTTTTGCTGTTTCAACACTTCAAACTGTTCAGGAGAGTCTAAAGTTTCTCTATTTCCAATGTTACTTGAACCAGTAGAAATTAAACTAACACTAGAACCCCCATGTGACTTAATACTTTGATGGTCGGATTCCTCCCTCACAGGTCTCTCACCAAGAGTTGTCTGCATGTTTGGATTAATATACAACTCTTTGCTCCATTCCACCATACATTTTAGTATTGAAACAAGGCATTCTAGTCCTCTTATTCTCATGGATTTTTCTTGATTTGGAGTCGCACCAAGTTCAACTGCTTGTCTACCTTGTGCAATTTTAGAAACATCATTTACCAATCGTTGGAATAAGTTTGCAGCTGACAAGTCACAATCATAGTTGACATAAATATCAACAACACTTTGAGCATCTCCACAAATCCTTGTCAAGGCTTGAATGACCATCCATTTATGTTCAAAAGTGGAGCTAGTGGTCTCTAAGATGTTCATAAAAATCTCCTTGAAGAAAACTTCAATTTGCTTCTTTAAGTGAACCTTGAAGTTCTGAAGTAATGCTAAGAAGATAGCTAAAGAAAGTTCAAAGACTTCAGGCACAGAGCTAACTCCGTTTTTAGATAAAGCTACACAGAGATACTGTTTAATTGCTGTTATAAACATTTCATTATTTCTAAATACTGGACCTGCATTCTGAAGGATAGAAAGTAGAAGATGCAAGGACAAAATTTTGGATCTTAGCTCATGTGACTTAGGGTCTGGGGTGCCTTCAGGTAGTGGCTTCATAGATAATTTGCATAAAGCTCTGAATACCAAGAATGCATCTTTTTGCAAAACATGAGTGAATTTTGCAGTAACAGAATTATCATTCTCTGAAATTACATCAACACTTTCTTGTGATGGTATTCTAGGGATGGGTGTTTCACTTTGAACTTGCCCATTACTATCTTGTGATACACTGTGACTATCTTGAGTATCAGATGGGATTTCATTATTATCAGGAACATTTTCAACATTTTCTTCTGTCTTCTTTTTTGTTGCAATTGATATAGCATTATCAATTACCGAGTCAACAATTTGCCGTGCGATTATCTTGGCTTCTAAAACATCATCAATAGCCTCTTCTGTGTTTAGTGCATCTTTGTTTTCTTCATTAGAAACATGATTAGATTCATCTGAGACTATATTGCCATTAGGAATTTTGTGACATACATCACTAGATTGATTATTAGTATTATTCTCTGCTTCAAGTGCCTGATTTTCCATTTTTGTAAATATAACATTAAGCATTTGGGTAAGAGTGGCTCTGGCTGTGGTTTGATTGATAAGGTTTTTACTAGCCAAGTATATGTTATAACAGGTTCTAACAGCAAGAAGCACTGTGCCTTCGTGAACTTCAACATGTTGACTTGTAATAACTGTTAGTAGGGCTTTAATAATTTGCAGTTGCACACCTTCATCTGTTTGTGGGCCATTAAAGCAGCTACAAATAGTTTCGACGATTCGATCAATAAGGAGTTTTCTTGGTGTTGTTGAGTCTGGAATGTTTCCAGTCAAATGTCCATAAGCAATTAACTTCTGGAGACAATCCAAAGCAGTCACAACTATTCGAGATGCTTTACTCTGGCATGCTAGTTCAAATGGTAAGAAATATTTTTCTGCTGTAATAACATTGGATGCATCATTTTTGGGTAATGGCAATGTGCCCGATGTAGGACTTTCTGATGTTTCTGCTTGACCACCATTTTTTAACTCAGCTTTTATTTCCTCTGAAACAATTAAAATATTAAAAACACTAATAATTAAAAAACTAATACAACAGATTTTTTTTTAATCTTGGTAAATAAATGTCTCTGACAGTCACTTCAACACAAGGATATGTTACATATGTATATTAATAAAAGTCTAAATAATTTTTTAAAATTTTCATACCAAATGGTAAAATAGGAAATACGAAACAATTTTTTATCATTGTTATTTTCTTTCTTACTTTGTGAAAAATTGTTAAATAAACACTATGCACAAGTAAGCTACTTATCTTGTTATGTAAACAAAATTATTAATATAATTTAACCCAGTTTACTGTTACCCAACCAAATTATTAGATAATCTGTTATTTTTTGCAAAAAATAATTTCAAAATTTCAAGAACTTATGGTTGTGTTGCAATAACGAATAATTAAAGTTTATTGAGACTTTCTGATTAGATTATGAACATGTATCCCCACTTGTTTTCTGTTCAAGGTCAACAGTACACTTACTTTTCGTACACCTATTGAGTTAAAACTTCATATAATTTTAATAGTAAGTATATATAATACAATAAATATTAACAGCGGAAAACAAGCTGCAATACGCCAAGATGGAAGGAACCTTACCAAGAGCGACTTCGCAAGACTTTTTCAGCTGACTATGGTAGGAGCGTTTTATGTCCTTATCAGCCAAAATCTTTTCTAAAGCCCTGACTATAAACATTTCTTTAGTCTTGAGGTTGGTTTGCATCGTTATTGCAATAACTACTCCATTCGTACTAATGGGAGCCTAGTTGCACTAAACTATTGCTTGATCATTTAATGTTTATTTTTATAGAAGTACTAATTGTATGAATACCGCACATTCACAACGCTCATAAAAATACTCTGAATAATATTTTGGCTTTCCATTCGAGTAAAAATTTTATGCGAATATTAATTACGATTTTTTTGCCTAAGGATTTCGTGACACTTCACAGTTCACACCTCATCACAAACATGTCAAATATTTGGGATTGTCATGTTAACGTGAATGTCATAAATCTGAACACCTATTTTATATTGTAGTCTTTGAATCTCCTGGCAATATTACACGTATAATATATATATATATATATATCATTGTACAATTCTACAATAATTATAATGATTATGACGTTAACTGTTAACATATGGATATTAATTAAATTCATAAAGGGTTTATAATAAAGCTGAACGTGATACCACAACGTCAAAAACGTTTTACATTTGACATACCGGAGTCGTATTTAGCATTAGGTCTCGACTAAATCTTACCGTCTTCAATCAAACCTAATTAATTTAGTTTCAAGATTTGTTAAAATATTTTTTTTGTATGAAGTTTGACATATTTGATAGCGGTCAAAACTCGACTGGACTATGGAGTATGGATTCCTATTTTTTGTCCATTGATATACAAAAACCCAAGATGCACAATCAACGTCTAAAAAACGTCCTCAAAAAATGAGCGCAACATTCTAAATTGTGCGCTCATTTCAAATAGTCTCGCGTCTATAAGTGGAGTCGATGTTATTTATTTGTGTTTTTTCTCTTATTTGAAATTTAAATTTATGATAATCAACATTGAACTTATATTTTGTGTTGTAGGGGACAATTTTTTGACAAATATATTCTACGCTATATTTCAATAGTACTTGTGGGTCAGGAGGTAGCCAATTTAACATTTTTTTTTAATTTATAAGAAAAAACTTTCCCCCCCCCCCCCCCCCCCCCCCCCCCCCCCCCCCCCCCCCCCCAAAAAATTAACCGGATTAATGTTATGTATTATTATAAATTTAAAACAACTATTTAACATCCAACACCTTTTGTCTTCAGTCACCGTGACCACTCACGCTGTAAAGCGACCCGAAAAGTCGGATAAATTTAAAATTATGTTAAATCGGAGTTGTTAAATAAAAAAGGTCATGTTCGGCTCCAATATAATACCTTGTCGCTACCGACCACGGTCGGTCGTAAAATTTTATTGCTTTAAGTACGTATACACTGCGTTGTAATAACAACTTTAAGCAATTCGCGTAAGGTTGATTTTGCAATAATATATGTTTGTAACATATACTGTTATGGACAGAAATAGTGTTTCGGGACACTTTCGAGCGTTACTTTTATTCGAGACTGTGCATCTTGGGTTTTTTGTATATCAATGTTTTTGTCCCAAAATCTTTTTGTATATTGATAATCATCAAGGATAAAAATATATTATAGTATATATATTGTTTTATTTATATATAAATTATTTTACTCTCTGGCAATCTGGTATAATTTTTACCTCTACAGTCTACAGTCTTCTACAATCTACATCCGTGGACCGTGTACCACTATTTCTATTCTATGGTGGTTCCATAAATTTAGTAATCAACGAAAACTAATTTTGTTATTATTAAATTAATATTTTGTCAACAGTCTTTTATTGGATTTTTGGTTGATTTATTATAATTTATCAAAATTGCTTCCACAATGACTGTCACGCGGGTTGCAGAATCCCGCACGGAATTTAAATTAAAAAGTCTCCCGGAGGACGCTATATCAAGTGTTAAGTTTGCACCGAAATCGAATCAGTTTCTCCTTGTATCTTCTTGGGACTGTTCTGTTAGGCTCTATGATGTATCTGCTAATATTGAAAGGCACAAGTACAATCATGAACTACCTGTACTGGATGTTTGTTTTAGGGTACGGAAGATTTCGTGATTAATAACCTCAATATCTGTAGCTTCGTTTATTTCAGTTTATTAATGATAACTTGTATATTTTAGGATGTTGTACATTCTTACAGTGGTGGCTTAGATCAGACGTTAAAAATGTACGATTTAAACGCCACTACAGAAACTGTATTAGGTGACCATAAGGGTGCTATACGTTGTGTGGAGTTTGCTGCAGAAGTGAATGCCGTGTTAACTGGAAGCTGGGATGGAACGGTCAAAATGTGGGATAGCAGAGTGCCTAATTGTGTAGGAACATACAATCAAGGCAATGAAAGGGTGTGTGCTTGCAATAGAAATAAGATCATAGCTAAATGTTTGATATTATTTAAGATAATAATAAAAATTTGTATGCTTGGGATTTTTGTTCAGCTTTTAAAGTTAACAAACAATAATTTTTTCAGGTTTATACAATGAGTATTGTAGGAGAGAAATTTGTAGTGGGCACATCCGGGCGGAAGATCTTTGTATGGGATGTGCGTAATATGGGTCATGTTAATCAGAGGAGAGAATCGTCACTTAAATATCAAACCCGTTGTATAAGAGTATTTCCAAACAAGCAGGGCTATGTCCTGAGTTCTATTGAGGGTAGAGTGGCTGTTGAGTACTTGGACAGCAATCCCGAAGTTCAAAAAAAGAAATATGCATTTAAGTGTCATAGAATAAAAGAATCAGGTAAAATAAATATAATACTCATTTATTGCATATTTAGCTTAACTAAATAGAAGAAGTTACAATTTTTAAATAGTATGTAAGCTCCATATCTAATAAACTTGCATAATCTATGAGTTTTTATGTGAATTACTTATGTAACTAATAATAAAACTCATTCTTAAATGCTTAGGTACTATATTTGATTTTTTAAATCTAAAATATGTTTTAAAATGAGACTATATTCAATTTAACAGGTGTAGAAAAAATATACCCAGTGAATGCAATCAGTTTTCACTCCGTTTACAACACTTTTGCAACTGGTGGATCCGATGGTTATGTTAATATTTGGGATGGTTTCAATAAAAAGCGACTGTGTCAATTTCACAGGTACATATAATTTGTTTTAAAACATAGTTGTAATCAATGGATTCTGCTATTCACATCACAGTGTAAAAAGTCATTAATACAGTGTAAACTCTTTATAACGTCATTTGTTACTATGAAATACTCTCTATAACATAAAAATTGTTAGTTGTTGTTTGGTTTAACGCAAAACTCATACATTAATTCACTCTTTATAACGCCATTCTCGATTTCGATGATATATTTTCATATTTAGACACATACTATATCTATATCAACAACATACTTAAGTGTAATTGTTGTTATAATCAGCTCACAAAACTAACCTTTTGAAACTGTCAAGATGGACCGTAAAGGAAAGCGTTATGTGTTAACCTAATTGGTTAAATTTGGTTTTTTTTCTTCTAACCCTCCGTATAACACTCCGTAACGAAAAAAAATGCTTGGTCCTTTGAAATCCGTTATAAAGAGTTTACACTCTACATTGTATTAAATCTTATATGGAAGAGATTAGTTTACATTTTTGCTTAAGAATGTTATACAAGTGAAATTATCCTTCTCTCAGATTCAAAGATGTATGATGGCAGAGACATTTAATTTGAATTACTGATTAGTTTTTAATAGATACTTTCAAAACCTATATAATCATTTGATTGCAATTAAAAAAACATTACTATAATATGCCTTAAAACCTGGATCCTTAAAATTTAATACTGTAAACATATGAAGTGGAGCCATATTGTGGGACAATTTGTTATTCATTAATTTAATTTTCAGATATAACACAGCAGTGTCGTCTCTGAGTTTCTCTCATGATGGTTCGGCATTAGCTATTGCCTGCTCCCAATTAGATGAGACGGAAGCTGAGGATCCAAAACCAGATGACACGATCTACATCCGATATGTCACAGACCAAGAGACAAAACCTAAATGAAAGTGTATTTAAAGTGGTGGATTTAGGGGATATTGAATACTCGGAGAGTAGTCCCCTCTACAAATTGTAAATCCACTTCCCAAATAGTTAATTTAAGATGTCTGGACTGATTCTTAAAGCCCGTGGAGAACTTGATAAATATTTTGCATAGTACGAAAAATTAAAAAAATATCAGCTGTAATTTTTAAAATTTTATTCTTTTAATTAAAAGAAGGATTTAAAAATTGCTGATGGTATTTTTTGTGGACTGTTCCACTTCTTTATTGCTGATAATTTTTTTTAATTGTAATATCTCAAATATTTTTACTTTAGATTGTTTGAATAAATGTTTTGTATATAATAGAATTAATTAACTGATAAAATGTTTATAGCTAACACAACTGTTCTGTCCTCGGCTCTTGTATTATACATGTACTGATCGAATTCTAGATTAAACGTTATAAAAAAAATATATTAAATTTGGAAACAGGTTGATAGATCAACAATTATTTGTGAGCGAAAGTGAAAATAGGAACTCTCATAAATCTTCAAGACTAGTTTTATTCAAAGCATTTTTCTTTATAACCGACTTTGAAAAGGAGGGGATTTACAAGATGTAAATTTTTAAAGGAACAACTTTATCTAATAGTTTTGTTCAATGAAGCTTGGTCTATTTAATTTACATTGCTTGTTAGAATAATTTGCTAATGATTGACCGATTTTTACTATAAAAATACGTACTTGTTTACGCGTACTTTAAAAAATTTAAAGTAATTAAAAATGATTTGTTTGAAAGTGCGCTAATTTTAAGTAGGTGGTCTTAAAATTGTCATAAAAAATTGATTATGCGAAATTAAGTCCGATCAATAACCTTAAGAATTATTGTGCGCAATTAAAAATCTATACCTTAAACCTTATCCAAAACTTTTTATTTGAGATCCATATTTTTTTGTCGAATTTTGTATTGCCCATTTTAACTACCACGACATTCTTTCACAGGCAAAAATTATTATATTATACTCTTCACGCACACTTGCGGTGCCAACATTTACTTTATTTCCGTAATTAGTAATTTGCATATGACTATTATGAGGAACTCACATAGGAAAACACGATCCATGATATAGTAGTTTAAAAATTTAAAGTGCCTATTATTTATTATACATATTTTTATAAACTTAGCCCTTTATAAAAATATCAATCTATTTGCACTTCTTGTACTTAAGTCGTTTGCTCTTTATGGTAGCATAAACACTATTTGCCAAAAAGATAGGAGTACCTACTTTAATTAAAAGCAATTAGACTTGGGTTCTTGTACTTGGGACTTGGTCTATTCTAATCATACCTAGTAATAATTTATAAATGGGATTGACTGAGTACCTATTCAGACAAAAGTGTTTGTATTTAAGGTATAAGTTGGAATAAACTAATATAAATTTCATATTACGTTTTCATTTATTGGTGGTTTTCATCAATATACTGCCATCTGAAACGTCAGAATAATTCCTGCACTTTACTTAACAATTGTTTTTTGTGCCTCACAACCCGAAACATTGTTTAAAGGATTCGAACGTACGACCACGCTATTGAGTGACATTCAGAAACGAGATTTAGCCCTGAGCGTGTCTAGCGCATGTTATAGGTTGGTGGACTCATTTTCCGCACTTAGACTCATAATTGGTCCATTATACGTAAAGTCCTGGCTAATTTAGCCAGTCTAGCTCCTTCCAGAAGCACAGAAGTCCTGGGCACTTCACATGCTTCACGGAGCGACCTCAGTGTTCCGAGGATTTCTGCACGCGCATTCTAGGACTATGTAGGTGCTGATTCCTCTGCGCTGAAACAGCCTCTGCACAAGGGGCTGTCTGTCGCGCCTAGGCCAAAAAGCCAAAAGGACATGTCAGCCATTATAAAAGGTTTTTCAAGACTGATTAATCTGCTGAATTGGTTTACATACATTTTCGTAAAGTTCAAATCTTTTTCATGTCAATTAACTTTCGATTTTCGATTGAGTTGTTTAGCGATGTTTTATTTAAAAAAAACTCGCTTTTAAAAGGATATAATCGAAAAACTAGTCACAAATCGTACATTCAATAATAGTACATATTTTTTTGCGGATAATATATGTCAGATTAGTCTTGATTTGTTCAAAATGTGAGTTTTCCATACAATGTTCTTAAATTTAAACTCGTGAGAGTAGGTACCCTAATTTATCGAATAGCCGACGTGGGCGTTACAATCGAAGCAAATCAACAAACGGACAAAGCAACGATAAGCCCCGAACATTCTCAAGCGCTCTTGTTTGTTGAGATGATTCAAGTGCCCGTTCCTGTCAAATTAAAAATACTGACTCGGATTTTCTAAGCATTTTACACACCTTATATGACCACATTGAAACGTTCAAATTAACACATTTCGCGGGCATACAAAGATTTTGCAATTAAACTTAACAGCTATTTTGCGAGCTTTTGTGCTTCTTAATACTGAGCAGTAAGGTTCATTCTATTGAGGTAACTTAATGAATTTGCATGAAGAAAGTGCAGGGTCGGTCCAAATTGCCAATCAAACAATGGAGCTGTTTGCGACCACCTTCTTAGAAATGTTAGCTTGCTTGTAATGGCGATATGTTTGCTAATACCATATTCCTCGCACTTGTCTAATTGCATTCACTCATAAGGAAATGCGTAATTTTAACTAATTCGGATATGTTTCGAAAGTAATAATATCCAACTGCCTATTTCAATATGTAAATAATTGTTTTAAAGTTAGTTTATATTTTAGCAACAAGCACAATTTTTTTTCCTGGCCGCCTATATTATTTGCCCATACCGTAAAACATATTAAACAGTGTCGTTTGTTTTGTGGATGTCAGATTGTTGACTATTGTTTCGATGAGTTTAAAAAAGTTAACTAGTCCGAATTTTTAACAGGAACTACTAGACTGATTTCTAATAATTGTATACATATATTATATACACACTCATACTCACTCACTCCATACATAAATCAAGCTATATAATATAATAAATAAAAAACACGTGGGCAGTGATCTGTGATTCGTAACCTTTGATTCGTAATAAATATTTTAGACGTAATATGGCAACGCCCCTTTTTTATCAAGAGCAAACATATTTATATTATATAATCATATATTACAATCATTTGGCCAAACTATAGTATAAACTATAAATGTCGACCTCTGGGGCCTTATTCCAGACTAGACGGCGGTATAAGGGCCTAATGGGAGTACCGCAAGGCCCATACTGCCCTTCTATCCTCGTCTATATAAACCTTTTTTGTAAAGGAGCTACGAGATAGTACTGTTTGCTGATGACACTCCTTTTATTTAAGTGAAACGACAAAATCCATCACTTGATAACGTAAACAGTGCCATCTCCAGTGTAGTCACTGGTTTAATACAAATAATCTTAAGTTAAACGAAAGAAGACAAAATGTGTTAAATTTGTAACTACAAATGTAAAAAGTAGTCATTCTCAAATAATAATTAAAGACGAGGAAATAGACTTTGTTGATAATGCGGTGTTCTTGGGAATTACTTAAGATAGTAACTCCAGTGGGGCCGACAATAGAAGGTCTTTCGAATAGGCTAATTCCGCACTTCGCATAAAAAAGATACGCATCTTACGGATGAAACACACAACTTGTTTATTTCAGCTATTTTCATAGTATTATGTCATATGGTGTTATTTTGTGGGGTAATGCAGCTGACATTAAATCGATATTTGTAGTGCAAAAGCGGGCTATAAGAGCGATCTGTGGGTTGTCCCCACGGGAGTCGGTCCGAAGCAAATTTAAGGAATTACATATTTTGACTCTGGCAAGTCAATACATTTATGAGAATATTTTGTATGTGCGGAAATATAGTATCTTTAAAAGAATAGTAGCTTCCATAATTATAGTAGGTACTCGTAATAAAGACAAAATTAGCGCACCAACCAAAGGCTGCATAAAACGAGTAATTCTTTCCAGGCAATTGTTGACGTTTTTTCAACAAAATCCCTAGTGAGATACAAGCGTTGTCATAAATTAATTTAATCGTACATTAAAGTAAAACTGCTTGCTAAGGCTTATTATAATATAAATGAATATTTAACGTCCTAGTGCTTGGATATGAGTTGCTCCAGTATATATTATAGGTAACACGACTGAATCTCTCGGCTGCATTTCCAGACTTGGGCGATGTCAAACTGTTGTAATGTAAAGTGGGAACAAACCGTGATCCATGTAGTATCCAATTATTTCAGTATTATTATTATTTTCTTATGTAGCCAAGTCCACATTTCAAGGATCGTCATGCTCGCTTAAATGTCATTGCTTGTGGCGGCGTCCATGCGTCGGGTTGTCCTCTCCCTAATATGGCGAGGGGGCCGATGGCTGGCCATGCGTCATACTCGTGAACGGGTGCTACTTGTGGTGACTGGTCGTACTTGAATTCGTGTATGCGGTGATGTTAATTATTTCGACTATGTGTTCCCAGAGAATGTAAGTGCTCCATTTCACCATGCCTCCTGCTGATAGGGGACAAGTCTTTGTTTTATTTATGTTATTATTATTAATTACTTATGTCATGTGACATGGTAATGGTGCAGCTCCTTACAAACGCTGTGTAAAAAAAACATGGCTGGGGGGGGGGGGGCCAACCCCCCCCCCCCCCCCCCCCCCCCTGATGGGAACGGGGAAAAAGTAAAATGGATAAAATAACTTTAATGACGAACACAAGTGTACATTGTGTTACCTACGTGAATAAATGATTTTTGAATTTGAATTACGTCGAGAAAACGTAACTTTAGGTAATACATAATCATCAAAACACGGTAGTACCAATTTTAATACCCAGCCGCCCACCAACCACCAACAATATTTCAATTTATAAATTGATAATAATTCATAAATTAATTAATTGACTGACACTACTACTCAGCCACTAGCGTTAAGCAGCCTGTTCTAGTAAATAAATAGTCAATTACTCCAGTTATCTATTTAAATGGCAACACTTAACG